GGACCTGTAGTGGAATCAGCTGGTAAAATGGCCGCGCAGTTCAAGCCTAAGATTGTCCAACTAGTCGGCAAGCCACACGTGGACCCGAAGCGCATCCTAAATGCCAGACAAAAAGGTCTCCAACATCAACGTACCCGAAAACTTGTGAAAACGATCACAGTCCGAGGTGATTTTCTCATAATAATGGGCCGTAAAATCAACTCTGAACTTCATCTCAGTCTGCGTGACAGAAATGATGGTTCTGGGAAGAGTTGAACAGGAGACTCAGAATGATCTTAAACGAGTCTTCTTTTAAGAAATTTAAAGCAATTAGTCCCTTTGATAAATTTCGATAATGTAATACGAAGAAGAAGATTATCTGAACTATGTGACGTATTAGTGCAATACATTCCGAACAATCTGATCACACATATACTTGTTAAGAACATTTATATATAAAAATATAATACCGACTTATTATCCAGAAAGATTGAGTTTCAAATTGTTTTCACATTATTAATATTACTCTTGTTATTATCCTTGTCTCCTCTTACCCCATTTCCAGTCTAGTTGACCTTCTATTTTTATTTATCTTAAACGAGCCACTGATGGTTACACGGCTTACTCAGAGAAACGATTTAATGCACCAAAATCATCCAAAGCTCCTTCAAGTAGCGTCCGCCAAAACTACCGATGTGAAGGATGTTCTTCAGGCCAGTCACTTCCAGAAATCAAAAGAGGACGTAAGAATACTGCCTGATATACCATTTTCTGGACAATCTCATCAGGAGGGTCCCGGAAGAATCTTGTGAGACGTTCTTTAGCGGAAAAAATATCAATGAGCAGGTTGTCTCCATAACTCAACAGGACCCTAAGAAGTTAACCTGAGCGCTGACTTGGTGTATCAGAAACTGCAGAGTCTAAACAAGGACACTTTTCCTGGCTCAGATATGGTTCTTCATGCTGCACTGAAGGAAGTGGATTCAATCGTGAGAAAATCACCTAGCGTGACGTTCTCACATTCACTGAATCAAAGTACGGGAAGGAAAATTGGCAGCTTGTCCTAATCAGAACAATCTTGAACGGAAATCAATGCAGAGAACCTTGAATCTGCTGGCCTGCAGCAATTCTCTCAACATCGTCAAAAGTTATTGAGTTCATCACATGCGACGATCTACGTGACTACTTACTGTTCAAGAACGTTTCATCTTATTAGCACAGTCTCCGGAAGGTCCATTCTCGTATAACCAACCTGCTGACCATCGTGGACAGGTGGATAACCATGCTTGATCGTAAGGGAGTTGATATCATATACTTTGACTTCTCGAAACCTCTTGATAGAGTCAGCAATATACGTCTCATCAATACGCTCAAACAAATAGGTAACAAGTCACTGTTACTAGATTAACTTACTGTCCATTTAAATCGTAGAGTTTTTAAGGTCAGGGCAAACTTCACACTTTCTCAGGCTACAGGATGTCTAAGTGAGGTCCCCCAGAGTTCAGTACTAGGACCTCTTGCCTTGATTGATATAAACGACTTTCTCAGAAGGTATCCTTTGAGCCATTACTTTTCGCTGATGATATAAAACTCTGAGACGTTTGCAGCCAAGAAAATGAGCTAGTACTACAGGAGGATCTGACTTGACTTCAAAGATGCGCGGCTAACAACGGACTTACCTTTAACACTTCGAAGTGTAAAATAGGCCATTAGAGATATGTTGCATACTACAAATACAACTTATGTAAGTGTCCTCTGGTGGTGCCCCAAGTTGAAAATATTTAGGGGTGTTGGTACTCTATGATCTGAAGTCTTACGCTAACTGCGACAAAAATGCCTTTCGAGCAAACCTTACACTGGTAACGTTGAAGCCGATTTTTGATTAGTTTGACGAAAGTACTCTCTGTTTAATTTTCAACAGTTTTATTCAACCCTATTGAGAGAATGAAAATATGGTGTTCCTTACTCCACTCCAGGAGGATGAGGATACATTAGAAAATATCCAATGGTGAGCCACGAAATCATTTCGGGGCTTCAAATTCAATTTTTGTGAAGAGTGTATCTAACCATCAGAATATGAACATCTCAGAGGTGACCTTCTAATGACCTACAGCCCTTAAATTCTTCTGAGCACCCCTTTACATACCTATTTAAGCTTCGTTCCAACACAAACCTTAGGAGTAAAACCCAGAAACGGGAGATTAAACCACAAAAGGGATTGTAGACATACCTCATACTCCTTAAAAGTAGTCAAAAATTGGATTCCATACGTTCAAGAGCATAAAGACTTAGAAGTAGTATTAAGTCATGACTTGAAAACAACTACGCATTGCAACGCAGCCACTGTCAAAGGTTTTCGTGCGTTATGGTCACTTCGCCGAGCGTTCGAAACTTTTGACGAGGAAATGTTTCGAATTTTATATCCTACCTATGTAAGAGCACATTTAGAGTACTGTATCCAAGCAGCCAGCCCAAATCTGATACAGGATACTAACTCATTTGAGCGTGTGGGAACAGAATTCGTGAAATGTTTTTCTCAACTCCCTTACGATGAGCGCTGAAAACGCCTAAAGCTTTTCCCCTTGTCGTATTGTAAGACACGAGGTGACCTTATATTGGCATTTCATATCTTTAATTATGATTTGGGTGTTAATACGTCTTATCTTTTTGCTCCCTCTAGCACTAATAATCTCCGAGTTCATAGCAAGAAGGTTCATAAAGAACGATCTAATAAACTTAAAGTTTTGTCAGCAAAACTAATCTAAGATACCCCACCAATAACTTGCGTTGGAATTTTAAACGGTTGAATGTGCCAGCTGTACACGGCTATCTACAACAGGTGGTTTGGGGTATTCACCCTCAACTCGATGTGCACGGTCATCGGGACTTCTTACTGCTCACGCTCTTACGTGCTACAAACCATTCAGTTCCTCAAACCGTTCCCAAAAGCTGCAAGCCACCCACAATAATCAAGAACCGCACCCTTCTCCTGCTAAGCCGCAAAAGGCACTGTTGGGCGAAATACAAACGAACTGACAACGACGGAGCATACAATCAATATAAACATATCAGGAACATATGCACGAAGGCTATAAGAGAAGACAGGCTTCAGTACCAGACAAAGCTCATGGACAAATTTGCCTCTAACCCTAGAAGCCTATTCCGCTATGCAGCCTCTCTTCGTCAAGTCAAAACAGGAGTTTCTCAACTGCTAGGTCTTAACGGCCCGACCAACAACGATGGCGACGCCGCTAACCTTCTGGCTGAACATTACTCCTAGAAATTTCAACCGACCGACAATAACTTTACTGATGACAGTTTCGTTTGCAATTTCACAGGACTTTCCGAAGTGGACCTAAGCGCTGACTTGGTGTTCCGGAAACTGCAGCACTTAAAACTTGACACTTCTCCTGGCCCGGACATGGTCCATTCCGCCATACTGAGGGGAGCAGTCTCAATCTAGGCAACGCCGCTTAGCGTGATGTTCTCACACTCGTTAAGTCGAGGAAAACTATCGGAAAATTGGAGGCTGGCTCACAACACACCAGTTTTCAAAGGAGGTCGACGCAGCGAAACTTCAAGTTACCGACCGGTGGTTCTTCTCTCCATACCCTCAAAAATCATGGAGTCCTTGATATGTGATGGTATAAATGACTATTTACTGTCCTTAAATTTCTTCTCACCCCAACAGCATGGTTTCAGGAAGGGTTACTCTTGTATTACCAACCTGCTGACTGCGGTGGACAGATGGACAAGCACCCTCGATTGCAAGTGGAAGGTTGATATCATCTACCTAGATTTCTCAAAAACTTTTGATAAGGTTAACCACTTGTGTCTTATCAACAAGCTCAAACGACTAGGTATCAAACCACCTCTAATCGACTGGCTTACTTCATACCTAAAAAATCGACACTTTAGGGTTAGGGTTAATTTCACTTTATCTCAGGCTATGGAATGTCCTAGTGGGGTCCCCCAGGGCTCAGTACTAGGGCCTCTTCTCTTCTTGATTTACGTAAATGATCTTCCTCAATAGGTAACGTCAGACTTATTACATTTTGCCGACGACGTGAAACTTTGGAGAGAGATACGCAACCAAGACGATGTACAGGCACTTCAAGAAGATCTGACTCGACTTCAAAGTTGGGCAGACGATAACGGACTTACCTTTAACACTTCAAAGTGTAAAATAGTCCATCTGCGACATGTTGCAGACTACAGTTACAACTTAGGAAACTCCTCTCTAGTAGTATCCCAAGTCGAAAAATATTTAGAAGTCTTGGTGCCCATGACTTGAAGTCTTACGCTAACTGTGACAAAAATGCCTTCCGAGCAAACCCTGCACTGGTAACATTGAAGCGCATTTTTGGCCAGTTTGACGGAAGAACTTTCCATACAATCTTCAATAGTTTTATCCGTCCCCATTTAGAGTACGGAAACATAGTACTTCCCCCTCACTCCAAAAGGACAAGGTCACTTTGGAGCGTATCCAACGGCGAGCCACGAAATCAGTTCGAGGACTCAAATTTAAACCTTACGAAGGACGCCTCCATTCACTAGACCTTTACTCATTAGAGTATAAACGTCTTAGAGGTGACCTTCTGATGGCTTATAGTATCCTTAACACTTCTGGACATCCTCTCAAACACCTACTTGAGCTTAGTTCCAACACTAACCTAAGAGGTAACACCCAAAAACTGGAGGCACAACATAGCAGGACGGACTGTAGACACAACTTCTACTCCTAAAGAGTTGTCAAATGCCGGAATTCGCTGCCGGCCGAGCTAGTCCAAACGACTTCTCAGGAGTCCTTTAAGAGGCAACTTGATCTATTCTTAAGGACTAAGGATAGTATCGCACTGATTTACTAATTTCTTTTCCTGTTTTATTGTTGACATACCTAGGTTCCTGCCTGGAGGATTTGGTGATCCCCTGCTACTAGACACGGAAGCCTGTTAAGCGAAAGCTTCTTCTATTCCGTTCACAACCATTTGAACCATTTGAACCATTTGACGACTGTAGCTAGGGTTCAACTCATTCAAAACTGTACGTTACCGTCTGGTTTTGCCGATTGATTCTTGTTAATTGTACGCTTGTGTCATTTTTGACTATTTTATCCCTTCCAGATGATACTACTAATTTTCACAATCCTCCAGCACATCACATATATATTTGTATAAACTTCTAAGCTAGACACAATCCTACCGAAAGCTAAATGTTACATTTAGTGGTAAAAGTCAGACATAGCTTGCTCACAACCTGACTGACGTGCATTAAACAGCAGCCGTCCCACTATATAAAACGTTATCCCTAGTTACAGGTAACTAAAATACCGCAAGCACTGGGGATATATATATATATATATAGCTGCTAGTCTATTCAAAGTCTCGTGTACTGCTAGTTGTGGTTGTCGAGTTGACTTGGAATCGCATTATTACTGGCCGTTACCGATTGTTTTCATTTCTAGGTGGTTGCATTGTGTGTGACCACAGTTGTCTGGTCACTCTTTTTCTTCTTAATAACTTCGGGTAAGAACGGTGCTGTGCACGTCCTCTCAGCATCAAAAGTACTTTCAGAGTGGACATAGATCGCTACAAAGTTGCGGGGTCGTATGTCATATGCAAGTCTTGACAACTCAGATTATCAGTAGTACCCAGTGTCTCATTCCAAGTCTTAAAATCACCAGGGTATAGCATCTTTTGAGAGTATAGAGTGTTAGATAGGTCAATAATACACGATCAAAGGAGCGGTGGCTCAAGGATTGAGCCTTATAACTCTTCGCTTTTCACTGAAAACCAATCTGACTTGAGTAGAAATTCTGAAAGCTTGTAATCCACTGTTTAGATTATCTGAGGGCCTCATTAAATACCCACAGAATTCAGTCTCTGACAAATAATGCGGTTATCCACCCTTTTGATCCCGACCGTTGTTGCTACCTTGACGTGGTGGTCGGGCTTGCCTATCGTGATGAAGCAACCGAGCTATACTGGCTGGAACAACCGTTCCTCAAGGTCCTACCATGTCAGACAGGTCGGTTGAAGAGCGGTAAGACTAAAAGCAACAAACCCAAGGTCCGAAGGCGAAGTCGTACTGCTGACTGTACAGAGGTGTGACAGCAGTAAGGTGTTTCCTTCAGACAACCAGCATGACAGCGATGCTGCCTTCCCACAAGGAGGGGTGGGGTTAGAAAAGGTCGACCCTAAAAATGCACACCTCGCCTTATCCCACGGATATCCGTCTCCGGCGGTAAGGTCTCAATAAGTACGGAGCTAACACAAAAATTACCCATAACAAGGTCGTGTGTGACCGACCTCAAGCAGTTGTCCCTTGGGCACTGCGGTCACGCTCTCAGGTCACTAAGACCACCTTTAATCCAAATTCCTTTTCAGGTACCTCCAGAACAACCCTTCCACGGTGTGGGCAACCGGGAAGTGAAAACCGCCCTCATACCTCTAACAGCACTCAAGACCACTGTATTCATAATCAACCTTCCTCTTCAATTCCTATTATTCCTCCTACATCGACTTTCAACTTTAAATTTCCTCTCTCGGCTTCCACCTCAAGTGTCACCATAGCCAACGATTCTAGTGCGCAAAATACTGTCCCAGGTCTACTGAAACCTCGCTCCAAACTACACATTGGAGCCTTCAACGTACGAACCCTATGTCAAATTGGTCAGCAGGGTTCCTTGGCTAAAACCCTAGAGTCTCTTACCATTGACGTGTGCTGTGTCTCCGAAACACGCATACAGGATTCCAGTGTGGTCATTCACCTGACCTCACCTCGGCAAAACGGAGAGCCAACGAGGTACACCCTTCGTGTATCTGGTGACCCGATGGCAAGTTCTCGTGGACTGGCAGGTGTAGGCATACCACTAAGCATGAGGGCCGAACAAGCACTGCTAGAGTGGATCCCCGTCAACAGTCGTCTATGTGCTGTTCGGCTGAACGGCTACGTAAGAACTCGGAAGGATAGGGACACACGTCGTTGCCTTTTTGTCGTTTCTGCCTACGCTCCCACTGACTGCAGTTCAGATGATGTGAAAGATGAATTTTACAGAAAGCTGTCCGAACTTCTTCAGAAAGCTAAACGCTCAGACATAGTACTCGTAGCAGGTGATTTTAATGCTCAGATAGGCAGTTTAAACCAAACAGAAAGGCATTTAGGTGGATATTTTAGTATTCCGACACAGCGAACAGATAATGGTGATCGTCTGCTGCAACTATGCTCAGACAATCGTTTATTTTTAGCAAACACAAATTTTAAGCATAAAGAGAGACATCGTCTAACATGGCGACCCCCTACACCAAACCAACGATGGACTCAAATAGACCATATTGCCATCAGTCATCGTTGGAGAGGGTCGGTAGAAGATTGTCGCTCATTCTGGAGTACCTGCTTGGACTCCGACCATGCCCTAATACGGGCACGCATCTGCTTGCGCCTCACTGGACGCAAAAAAGCCACATTAAAAAGACCCGTTAGAACTGATTTGAGTAACGAGAAAACCAAAAGTAGGTTCCAGGAACAACTGAGGTCACACTTAGGTAGTTGTGAAGACGAGGCTAACCCAGATGTTGCTTGGAAGGGCATACAATCAGCTGTGGAAACAGCAGTGACATCTATTAGTGACTTAAACCACAGAGTTGCAAGGAACCAGTGGATTTCTTCAAGGTCTGTCACACTGATGGATTCTCGCAAACTCGTCCCATCAGGTCCTGAACATGATGAAGAGCGAAAACAAATCAGATCTAGGTTAAGAAAAAGTCTAAAGAACGACCGTGAGCAGTGGTGGTTAACGAAAGCAAAAGAGATGGAAAAGGCGGCGACTATAGGGAACACAAGACAGCTTTACAGACTAATAAAAGAAACTGGAATTAGTAAGTCAAGTGTAAGTGAGATTATTTCGGAAAAAGATGATACTCTCATCTGCTCCCAGTCCAGACGTTTAGAACGATGGGCGGAGCATTTTAGAGAACAGTTCAGCTGGCCTTCAGCTACTCTACAACTACCCTCCATTCCCAGACAGTGTGAATGGAACATTGAAATAGGTCCCCCTACTCTTGCTGAAGTTCAAAAGGCTATAGTTAATCTGAAACGAGGAAGGGCAGCTGGTCCAGATGGATTGGCTCCAGAGGTCTTTAAGGATGGTGGTCCAATTTTAGCGATTAAGTTGACTAATATTTTAGCTAAGATCTGGGAATTAGACTTTATCCCATCTGACTGGTCGCAATCACTTATCGTCCCAATATATAAGAAAGGGTCAAAATCATCCTGTGACAACCACAGAGGGATTAGTTTAACAAACATAGTTTCTAAAATACTGGCCTCGATAATTATCAAACGCCTAACTAAGACTCGTGAACTACAAACTCGAGAGAACCAAGCTGGCTTTAGACCTGGTCGTGGCTGCATCGACCACATATTCACCATTCGTCAGGTTCTAGAACACAGGCATACCTATCGGCGTCCGACGATGGTGGTCTTTCTTGACTTAAAAGCAGCATTTGACTCGGTAGACCGCGAGACTCTGTGGCAGTGTCTGTCATTGAAAGGCGTACCTCAGAAGTACATAAACCTTGTGAAGGCTCTTTACTCGAACACTACTAGTCGAGTCAGGGCTTATGGCGAACTGTCATCTACTTTTGCAACCTCAAGTGGTGTCCGTCAAGGCTGTCCACTTTCTCCATTTTTGTTTAACTTCATCATAGACCTATTGATGGAAATAACACTCTCGTCGACTGAATTCTCGGGTATTGATCTCCTTCCAGGAGGTCCACTTATCGACTTAGAATACGCAGATGACATAGTCCTGTTTGGTGAAGACGCTGAGAAAATGCAGAGTCTTCTGGTAGCACTGAGCAACAATGCCAGAATGTTTGGGATGCGCTTCTCTCCCTCTAAATGCAAGTTGTTGCTTCAGGACTGGTCTGCGTCAACACCTGAACTAAGGATAGGTAGTGAAGTAGTCGAACGCGTTGATAACTTCACTTATCTTGGAAGTCTGATCAGCCCTAATGGGTTGGTATCGGACGAAATCTCAGCACGGATTCGAAAAGCTCGCTTGGCTTTTGCCAACTTGCGTCACCTTTGGCGAAGGCGAGATATCCGTCTATCAATAAAAGGACGAGTATACTGCGCGGCAGTTCGTTCTGTTTTAATTTACGGCAGCGAAACATGGCCCTTAAGAGTAGAAGACACCCGTAAGCTACTAGTATTTGACCACAGATGCCTTAGAAATATTGCTGGCATCTGTTGGGATCACCGGGTAAGTAATAGTGAGGTTAGACGCAGGGTATTAGGGAATGATGGTAAATCAGTTGATGAGGTTATGAATCTTCATCGACTGAGATGGTTGGGCCACGTATTACGTATGCCTGAACACCGATTACCACGACGTGCAATGCTAACCGGGGTAGGGGATGGTTGGAAGAAAGTTAGGGGCGGCCAAACCAAAACGTGGCATCAGTGCCTGAAGTCACTAACTTCTAGTCTGAGCCACGTTGGTAGATGCAGACTACTTGGTTGGGGTCCGCGTGACTTTCGTAACCAATGGTTGGAGACTCTTGGTGACATGGCTCAGAATCGATCACAGTGGCGTCGGTGTATACACTCCCTGTCTTCCCTTAAACTAAGAGACTAAAATCACTTCATTCTTTCTGTCTACGAACTAATTCTTTCTTCCTATACTATATCCTTATTGCAACCTTTGACCTAACCACTGCTATGAATCCGGTGTTCATCTTGCTGTGCTAATGAGGTATGGCAACCTGGACCGATGCACATATGTGCCTGGTCCTACGTTGTAGCTGACTGACTGACTGACCACCCTTTTGAATGATGAGTGAAACCTAGGGGCCACCAAATGGTCGTGTTTTAGAGGCAGTCAACATGTTTTTGCTGCATGATTATTAATCATAAAGAATATTAATATCTAGAGAATAAATTCAGAGGGATTCATTTACGATTGTCATTATTAAGTTGCGTTTTTGAAGAGGTTGGACATTTACATTAGTTTTAGTAGCACTACAGGTGTTTTTCTTTTATCATCCCTTTTATTAATAACGTTTTCGTCATTTCAGGTTCTTGATGGGTCCAAATAAAATTTAAACCTTCGTTTCTGAGAGCTCTTTTCTACAATCCGACGCAGATATTAACCAATATTCTGCTGTTTTTAGTTATCGGAATTTAAAGTCTGATCTTTGACTAATAACCACGGAAGTTTCCGCTGAAGCAGTACTAGTAGATAGTGTGTTGCTTATGGATGTCCAGTTCACTATTTTGTCTCCAGATTTGGGCTCAGGGTGACCTAGTGCAAATATGCATGGTGTACTGAGTAAATTGACATTTGAGGTAAGTTCTGCAAAAATTTGGATGGTATTGTGTTAAAATCATAAAAATGCATTTCATACTAGCACTGTTTTTCTCTTGCAGGAGAGGAACGAAGAAAGTTTTGAGGATTATACAGCTGTGACTGACTGGGAAGTGTGAGTTACAACTCAAATTCGCTATTTGTAAATTAGTTTCTTCATTTTACTTATCAAAGTAAAGGTAACGGGAGTTTCCAAAATAGGTAATCCCAGATGTTTAAAGCATCCCTTGAGTAGCATAAAATAACACTGAGAGTCTTACTGGTTTCAGATTCAAAGTAGCAGTCAGAAAGTAAGTTTGTTAAGTTGTGATTCAGTCACCCAAGTAGTTCAGTGGATTCATTACAAGCGTGTCACTCAATTTCGGCATTTATTGTTAGTGTGATAGTGTTACTGTCAATGAGACTGAAGCATGTAAATGAAGCCTGTGATCTGTCTAAAAACAATACCTCAAACAGTCAGGCTAGCAATTAAGTGCCCCAAGTAGTCTCTCTGTTAGCTCAACAAACCATTATTCACTCCTATTTGTGACCCATTATTTGCACAGTGCATTTGTCAACGACGAATAAGAGTAAGTAGTGGTGGGTAACTTGTTTGTTCCTATGATTGATTTTAATTTGCATTTTGTGAATGGTCTAGTAATGTTTTTTTGTCTGAAACTAAGTAGATGACCGGAGGTTCGGATATGTTAATTAAAAACTAAGTACTTTAGTTGCCAATAATTTACCATCATTCTATTGGATGAATAACTTATACATTCCACCGTCATTATCTTATCACCCATTCCTCACATTTCAGTTTTACACAAGAACTTGAAAATTGTTTAACAAGTTGGATGATTAAACAGGATACTGAAGTCGTAAGTTTCACTGGTCAAGCTTTTTAGATATTTCCACAATTATCATATCGTTTGCTTATCCCCTACCATTGTTTTCATTATGAATTATGTTGCATTACTGAATAATTTACTGTTATCTCACATATCCCACGTCATTCCTGTTTGTCTGGGTGTAATCGGTGTAGAGGATATAAATAAAATGAAAAAATTTGAGCCGTCGGGATGTTGTAAACTAGCCACTAAGTAACGATTTAATTCACAGTAATTTACACTTTGTTGAATTATTATGAAAGCCTTATCTGTAAAGACGAAAAAGAATGTAAGCAGCATAACTTATACATTTTTGTCCCACATAAAGTTTGGAATTCTTAAGTACTAATTAATTCAACATGTAGTAAATCTTTTAAAAAACACATACACTCAAAAACTAATCATGTTTGGGATAACCTTCGTATATCCCCATTTGTGATAATTATTTTCCTCTAGTGCTTCTAAAAAGCATTTGATTTCCAGTTGCTGATTTCGGAGCTACGAATTCCATTTCACCTTTACCGGCTGGGTAGTTGTAGCTTAAACCTTTCTATCTTGGCAGATGGTTGGGCTTAGATATCGCAGTGACTTATTACGCCTATGTTGACCGGAAAACCTGTTTCTTTGAGTTTTACCCTCTCAGGTATGTCGGTCGGAGGGCAGTAAGACTAGAATTTCCAATGGCGGGGTTGTACTTCTGACTGCACTGTGTGACGACATTAGGCTGTTCCCACAGAGAATCAGCATCTACTTCCTTCCTGTAACAAAAGGGAGGAGATCCAAAATGGTCAACCCTAAAAATAACACCGCCTCAGAAGGTGTAGTTTTCAGAGTACAGAGCTGCGACATCAAGGACTACTCACAAAAAGACCGTGTGTAACAGGCTCTGGGCTGTGCGGTCACGCTTCCAGGTAGCCAAAACCTCTAATAATACATTTTCGTATTCAGGTCTCTCAATAAGTATCCTCCCACGGTTTGGGAAGTCAAGTAATGACGACTGCCCACACAAATAACAGCACTCAAGGTTACCTTGTTCACGATATGTTAATCAAGTATTCACTTTTAGTTTGGTTTTAGAATATAGGGATACTTACTAACGTCTGGCTATAGCTGTATTCATTGACCTTAGGGTATCACTTGGCTCTGTTGACTGGGAGGTTCTGTGACAATATCTGTCATTGTAAGCTTCAACAAAGAAGTACGTAAACTTCTTAAAGGTTCTGCTCAGGTACTTGGTCGAGTCAGAGCTTATAAGGAATTGTCAGCCTCAAGTAGTGTTCTTCACGCTTGACTACTTCCCACTTTTACTGATTTTTTCATAAATCTTCCCTTAGAAATAATAATTCACTTAAATTTCCAGGAGTTCATCTACTAGGAGGATAACCTATCGAGTCTGTAGATTACGTTATTTATTTATTTAAACACAAATATTGGTACAAGGGGGTACCAAATACATATGCACCATATAATAATGAGGCCGGTAGCAGTTATCACTGATTTGTGTGAGGGTTGTGATACTGCCCGGGCACCCAAACGAAAGCAGACTATGTAGTCCTATTTGATAAAGATGCTGAAAAAATGCATTGTTTTTGTCACCTTTAGCAACAATGTTACCATGTTTGGAATGCTTCTCTCCCTCTAAATATAAAATGTCACTTCGTTGATGGTCTGTGCCATTGGCCGTATTTATTGTAGTGTGTGAAGTAGTTAGGTGTGTTGACAACCTAACTTGTCTTGCGATTCTCATCAGTCCTCATGGGTTGGTGTTTGACAAAATCTCGCTATGAATTGACAAAGCTCAGTTAACGTTTTTCATTTTGCATCACTTGTGACACAGGTGATACATCCATCTCTCAACCAAAGGGGTATATGCTGGGCAGCAGTCCGCTTTGTATGACTTCGCGGATGTAAAATATAATCTCTAAAAGTAAAAGGCCCTCATGGGCTACCATGGGTATTGTGGAACTACCGTGCGAGCAATATTAAAGTTGGGAATAGAGTTAGCAATGTTGGACAATCGATTGATAAGGTTATAAATCATCATCAACTGAGGTGTTTAGAGCAAATGGTACGTATGTCTAATCACCGCTTACCTTGATAGGTTGTGTTTGCTGGTGTGGAAGTAAGTTGAAAGAAAACTAAGGGCGACTGAACTAAGATCTGTCATCAGCTCATGAAATCATTGGTTTTTGGTCTGAGCTATGTTGGTAGATGCAGATTACTTAGTTAGGTTCCGTGTGATAACCGCAATCAAGTGCTTAGAGACTTAGGATGACATATTTCAGAGTTATTCACAATGGCGTAGATACATTCATTCTCTGTCTTCCTCTCAATCTTGAATTGAAGTACTTCTTCACACATCTCTCCACTGTCTTTACTTTTCATTGTCACTACATTATTCCTCTCTGTTAATATTCATCTTGCTAGTTTGTCTCTGTTCTAACGAATAGGGCCAGTATATATATGTACCTGGCTCTACTCTGATGATTACCCACTAACTGTTGACAAATTTCTTTGTCAATAACTAACATTACTTCTATTCTCGCCACCAACCCTATTTACATTGCTTAAGCTTTATCCCTACCCACTACCAATTATAATGCATTAATTTCACGAAATGTTACTACGGGTATCCTGAGATCGCGCTCCAAACTATGTTTGGGAGCTTTCAATGTTCGGATGTTAAGTCAAATTGGACAAACAACATAATTAGCTAGGAATTTAGAATCTCGTGCCATTGACTGGATAGGAGTATCACTAGCTCTCATAAAACATATAATCTCAAGACAGAAATCTGCTTTGATGTAATGTGTTAAATTGAACAAATAGTCGCTTTTATCTCATTTAGTATTCATTTTTGCTGTCTTAAACACTTTATGCTAAATTTTAATTTCTGGTAAATTCTCACACGTTGTTTTTTTGGAAACGACCGTTTTTGTCGGCCTACTGATTAGTCATTTTAACAGAATAGATACTTATTCAACAAGTATAAAGATTTTGATAAAGTGTTGTATTTCCCTGTTGTTGATATCCATTACTGCAGTTTATCAGAGCTGACATTAAAATGAGTGTGGCTTTCTTTTCTTTTTCTCTAATGATACATTGTAAAGGTATGAGTATAAATATTAGAAACCGTGATTGTCATCAAAATATTTACTTGATATGTCTGAGTGCACGATTTTTTCCCGCCAAAATATATGAGGATGTCACATTCTGAGAAACAAATTATCTATGACTAAACCTGTTAGAATTCTATTCTAAACTGGTTATTTATTTTTCTCAGTACCTTCATATCACTCATCTGGCTGAGATATTAAAAATACTTTAGAAATTTTACCAAACAGATAAACACGTTCTTCGAAAACATCGAATTCACTTTCGAAAGGGAAGATGAACATAGCAGACTACCATTCTTAGACCGTTTAGTTAGAAGAAATTCTAATAGATGTCTTAATCTAACTATATACCGAAAACTGACACATTCAAATCGGTAGATTGATTTTAACTCAGTACATCCATTCAGTGGAAAAATTTCCATAGTCCTAAGTCTTTAGAAGAGCAACCAAGATCATTACTTCAGAAGAAGATAAGCTTAAAGAAAAAGACAGTACAATAAACACCCTACAATTTAATAATTTTCTTAAGAATATTATTAAAAACATTAAAACAAAACCTTCCTTTTGTAAATAACAAATTTAATGAAACGGATTGGTACTGTAGTTTTATCTTACCGCCAAGGTACGACGGATATTGCAAAGATACAAAATTGAAGCTATCTGTAGGATAACTGACACTAAGAAACGCTTTAGTTAGAATAAAATATAAGATCTCGTTCACTCCTACACGAAATTTTGTCTAGAGGATTAGGCTGTTTCGATTGTGATGCGTTCTACACTGGAGAATCTTCCTGTGAGATCTCGACTGGAGCCAAGAAAAAAGTTAGCTCCACAAAAGTACCTAATAATTCCATAGAATTAGAAAAGCTAGAAGTTAAATCAGTGATAGCAGTATCCGCTATATTGAATAATCACCAAATCGATATTAAAAATATCAAAACAATTCAGGTTTTTCCAATTATAAAGAGAGGCGAGTAACCGAAACGTTTTACATAATACTAAATCGCTCTTTCCTCTATAGTAAAGAAGACCTATGATGCTGGATGAGTGTGAGTAATAAACTTAAATCACAGTTGTTTTGGTGTTATTTGTTGGTCGATTTCTTGGGGTTTGGGGCGAAACAAACTGAGTTCGGCAACCCTTATAAACATCAACATTGGGAACCAGATACGTTCAGCTGACGAGTTCTAAATACAGTGAAACGCAATTCCTGTATTCTATTCACAGCCACCCACCAAATGCACTTAAGCTTGTGACAACTGTTTTGAGACAACCCGTTTAATGACACCGACTGGTCAATTTCAGTCCTGAATGTAAATAAACGGTGAATTACAAATCTTAACTAAAACACGTCAAATAAATAATGTCCATAACTAGCCATCACTCAACTAGTTTTCACTTCCATCAACTTAAGACCTTGGTTACTGTTGGTTTCGACTATCCTTCCCTGTTTCATCCATGAAAGTCTACAATCTTATCCATTGGTGCTTCGCGCTGAAATTTTAACATTTTACTGTAATAATATCGTTATTATTATATTTATTTCTAATGTGATAGATCATTTATTTTTAGTCTTCAGTTTATGGACGTGTTCAATTTTGTGGAAATTTAAAATTTGGTGAGAGAATCTTCAATTTAAGTTACTATAAATCTTGCATTGAATCTGAACAAACTAAGAATTCGACCCATACAATCACATCCGAAAGTAGTAGGTGTATAATATCTTCATTTTGATTATTCTAGTTTCGAGAAACTGTGTTCGTGTTATTACTCCCATACCTGATTTCAGTGGACGATTTATTATTCCATTATTCTGGTGAGTATTGTGTTTAATTCTCTACATGTTGAAGGTGTGTGAAGATAAGGGAGGTTTAATCTGAGAAGAAGCGTCTGTCTTGTTCTCTTTGATTTTGAATGATTTTCTTTAGTTGATGTCAACTGATAATAACTATTAATCTACTGTTATATGACATTTGAGTGACCTTTAAGCAACGCCAAATTGACCATAAAGAAATGCACCTGCCTACTAGAGTCGAAAGGGTGTTTTAAATTAGTGTGAGAAATCAGAATCACAATTTAAAGTTGTAGGTTAGGGTTAGATATTACAATTAGTGTTTTCATTACAAACTGACAGCTGTAACGCCAAAATCCAAGACTCGCTATATTAAATCTGATTGCTTCGTTCATAAATTATAGTCTCATCGAGATTTGTTAATTACTATAATTATCTCGAAATGTTAAAGCCCGTTGAATATTAAATTTCAGCGAGAGATGTAAAATCATACTTGCTTATACGGGTAACTTTTAAGGTGAAGTGAGGTACAATCTACACCGTTTCATTTGATAAGATTAACGAAAACATCTGCGAATTGTCATTAAACAGTAGTCTAAGTGGTTCTTTTCAAAAGTGAAACTTTGTCAACAGTGTTAAAGAAGCAATGTATAACTAACTCTCCATTGAATCATTTCAACATTAGTCCATTTCAAGTGAAATAATATCAGGGTTAACTTTTGCTTAATAAGCAGAAGTTTCTTTCATAAGTTCTTAATACTAATTGATAACTGTTGATATATGTTTTAATTATATTCGAAGCATAGAATATAAAACTTCATACAATTGTTTGTATTGATAAAAGGTCGACCCTAAAAATGCACACCTCGCCTTATCCCACGGATATCCGTCTCCGGCGGTAAGGTCTCAATAAGTACGGAGCTAACACAAAAATTACCCATAACAAGGTCGTGTGTGACCGACCTCAAGCAGTTGTCCCTTGGGCACTGCGGTCACGCTCTCAGGTCACTAAGACCACCTTTAATCCAAATTCCTTTTCAGGTACCTCCAGAACAACCCTTCCACGGTGTGGGCAACCGGGAAGTGAAAACCGCCCTCATACCTCTAACAGCACTCAAGACCACTGTATTATTCCTTCCTCAATTGATAAATTATTCTTGCTTAACATAAACTATCAATTCTTATCAATAGAACATATCTCTTTTCTTTTGTTGTTTCTTATCTTTTCATGTTTTTAATAACATTTAGGTTTGGTTTATCTCATGCATTCATTTTAAAACCTGATGATGGTGTGATTAAAGGTGGAACACGACTTAGTTTATTGCTTAGTTCAGTTGAAATGGCTGTTTATGCAACACGATGGTGAGTTTAATGAGTATAAATTGTATTTCTTGTTAAAATCTTTTCTCTTCTATTATGAAATAATTTCAGAATCAACACATGAATTTATCTGAATTCAATTAACTCAATAAAATTAGTGGAATATTTTTCAATGATTTATTTCTAGGGGGGGGGAGGTTAAGGTCAACAAGAACAGAACAAGCTGTGAAACGCATATGGATAAATTCGAACACTTCACTTCTATCTGAAATTTGTACTGATGATGTCGTTCAGAAGAACGATGAAAGCTCCACAAACAAACCATCCAGCTCAGAGAACAAAACTCCATCAAAAAGAGGTTAAACCTGTCTTTTCTGTTGACAATTATACATTCAAAATAAGAAATACTCTATAATCGTTTAGCATACATTATGTCTACGGCAAACGTTTTACAATTCTTACATTTATTGATATTTACGAGAAAAAATTAAGTGTAAAGGATTCTTGCATCAACATATATTGTCCCCTATTATGATAAATTACCAGGTACAGACTCGTGTAATTGGTTTTGAGCTACATTTCAAGTGTGAGAGCTAATTATTACTACCTGGTCGCTGGAAACAGTGTAGTTGATGAGGGATTTTTAATGATTTGTTTGCTTTATGTTGATTAATATTGTTTTTAGGTTGTTTATATCTATGAAGAGAGTCCACGAAATAAATAAATTCATAATATTATACTTCAGTTGTTTCTGATTAAAATTATATTTACTATGACAAAGAGTGGTTTATCACATTTTCGTTCCTGTACACACATGTCAAAGCTGAAGTGTTTAATGATAAGACGATATACAATAGATCAAAATAAGCATTTATTGTTTGCTAACATCTTAGGGATGTCCAAAATTGTCCACTACCTGGACATCTTGTTGTGCTAATGAGGTATGGCAACTTGAACCGATGCACATATGTGCCTGGTCCTACGTTGTAGCTGACTGATTGACTGCCTATTAAATGCCTGACAATTACAATTATGAATACTTTATTATCTTTCAGACAGACTACTACGAACATGCTTTAAAAATCTAATAGAAATTTATCTCTGTAGTTTTTTATATCTATATTCTGCCATAAGTGAATGCAAAATAATAAATACAACGGAAGATGACATTCAAAGAATAATAATCTATTTCTAACAAGTTTAATAAGCATTTAGTTTTGTATAGTGAAACCAATTGAGTTCAAGGGAAATACCGTGTTGATATGGAACTAAATTGAGTTAATTCAGTCATGGACTGCATGAACTGCAAACACGAGAGAACCAAGCTGGCTTTAGACCTGGTCGTGGCTGCATCGACTACATATTCACCATTCGTCAGGTTCTAGAACATAGACATACTTATCGGCGTCCGACAATGGTGGTCTTTCTTGACTTAAAAGCAGCATTTGACTCTGTAGACCGCGAGATTCTGTGGCAGTGTCTATCATTGAAAGGCGTACCCCAGAAGTACATAAACCTTGTAAAGGCTCTTTACTCGAACACTACTAACCGAGTGAGAGCTTCTGGCGAACTGTCATATACTTTTGCAACCTCAAGTGGTGTCCGTCAAGGCTGTCCACTTTCTCCATTTTTGTTTAACTTCATCATAGACCTATTGATAGAAATAACATTCTCGTCTACTGAATTCTCGAGTATTGATCTCCTACCAGGATGTCCACTTATCGACTTAGAATACGCAGATGACATAGTCCTGTTTGGTGAAGACGCTGACAAAATGCAGAGTCTTCTGGTAGCACTGAGCAACAATGCCAGAATGTTTGGAATGCGCTTCTCTCCCTCTAAATGCAAGTTGTTGCTTCAGGACTGGTCTGCGTCAATGCCTGAACTAAGGATAGGGAGTGAAGTAGTCGAACGCGTTGACAACTTCACTTATCTTGGAAGTCTGATCAGCCCTAATGGGTTGGTATCGGACGAAATCTCAGCCCGGATTCGAAAAGCTCGATTGGCTTTTGCCAACCTGCGTCACCTATGGCGAAGGCGAGATATCCGTCTATCAATAAAAGGACGAGTATACTGCGCGGCAGTCCGTTCTGTTTTAATTTACGGCTGCGAAACATGGACATTAAGAGTAGAAGACACTCGTAAGCTATTAGTATTTTCCCATAGATGCCTTAGAAATATTGCTGGCATTTGTTGGGATCACCGGGTAAGTAATAGTGAGGTTAGACGCAGGGTATTAGGGAATGATAGTAAATCAGTTGATGAGTTTGTTAATCTTCATCGACTGAGATGGTTGGGTAACGTGTTACGTATGCCCGAACACCGATTACCACGACGTGCAATGCTAACGGGTGTTCGGGATGGTTGGAAAAAAGTTAGGGGTGGCCAAACCAAAACGTGGCGTCAGTGCTTGAAGTCACTAACTTCTAGTCTGAGCCATGTTGGTAGATGCAGACTACTTGGTTGGGGTCCGCGTGACTATCGTAACCAGTGGTTGGAGACTCTTGGTGACATGGCTCAGAATCGATCACAATGGCGTCGGTGTATACACTCTCTGTCTTCTCTTAAACTAAGAGATTAAAATTGCTTCATATCTTTCTTTCTACGAACTAATTCTTTCTTCCTGTACTATATCCTTATTGCAATCTTTCTTTTATATATTACCACTATTGAATTAACTACTTCTATGAATTTGGTGTTCATTATGTTGTGTTAATGAGGTATGGCAACTTGGACCGATGCATAAATGTGCCTGATCCTACGTTGTAGCTGACTGAGTGACATGGATAGTGGCTAACAGTGTTATCTAGGACGCACGTTCCTTCCTTTTTGGGACTCGTAAGCTGGATATACCTGCATTCCAGAATTGATGTTCACTCCGGGACTCGAGCCCAGTACCGTCCGCTTTAAACACCATCCCATTATCCACTTAGCTACTAAGTTTCGATAGCCACCTGCTTGTGCAATCTGTTGGATATTAGTTTTAAAAAAAACGAATTTTCGTCACATCAATATCATGAATTGATGGAAATTCAAAATAGGTGCCCTAAAATTTCAAATCTTAGCTAATAGTGTTACTCGCCTTGAAATTTGAAGAATTTATGCTGGATCTTTAAGGGAATGTGGTTGATGAATAAATACTATTTAGAAGTCTCACAAACTAAGATGAAAGCGTTTATCCGATGCTCTCCTGGTTTCTTTTTTTTCCATTGTTTTCCCTTCTAGCTGAAATGAGTCGTATAACAAAGTATATCTTTGGAAGACATTATTGTTTAATATTTCTCTTTGAATTTAACTTCTTTCACTGTTAATATTGTTATTTGCATTAGTATAGTCCTGTACCAGTTTTGGTGGAACATTATGGACCTACATATTTTGGTTTGGCTGCATCATCTTGTCTTACATCAAGTGATTATACGAATTGTCTTCATAATAATAATAATACTGTATCATCATCATTGTCAACTTCTAATCGGATTGGTTCATTAAATATTGATTTTACTTGTTGCCGTATTGAAAGTGAAATATTAGCGAATTGTACACATCTTAGTGGGCTAAAAGAAATATTCCTTACTAAATTGGTAAGTATCATTGAAATGATTTAAGTGCTTTTGTTAAAAAGCATTTTGTTAATTTCTAGGTAGTATTTCTTTTTATGACCTGGTCATAGAAAAGCTAGTATGGATTTGAATTAACCTGCCCCCAAATGCCCTGGTACGGCTGAGTGGCAAGAGTCAACTTCCCCTCTCGAAATGCTCTCACATGGCCACATGCATGTAATCACTCCCAGGGAAGTCCTACTCACTGCCTTCTCGTGGCGATGGTGTTGTTTAAGAAATTGAGAGGATGAAAAGTGAAACTCCGGCGCTTTAACCTGGTTGATGGATACGGACATTATGCACACTATTTAGTTAGAACATTTTTTTATTTTTGAGATTCAGGCGAGGTTTCGTCGAAAGCCTGAATTAAAACGGCTCAGATATTTTAATAAATGTACATTAAAACGTGTTAGTTTTACCGAACTGATTTTTCGATGCCTTTTTTTATTGTACAGGGTTATCCTTGGAGTGTGAATTATCCTGTTCCAAAATTAGATATTTCAGCCAGATTCATATATCATCTACCATCATGGTCGTCATTACGAGGTAAGTTTTAAAAGTGACATATGTATACTTATTACTTATTAAAAAGTCTGTCTAGTTATGATCAACTCAGAGCCTGTGCTTATATTTACTTATATTATTTATTTGTTTTATTTTCAGAAATCTTAGAAATTTACATTGATATCCCCCTTGATCGTAAATTAAAACTAATGTACGGACCTTAATCAAGAACTGTACATCCTGAGGCTTCGTTTTCCGACATAGCAATTTCATAGTTTCGATAATGATATTAGAAGACGAAGATTATCAGAACTATGTGATATATTAGCGCAATACATTTCGAACAATCTGATCACACATATACTTGTTAAGAGCATTTATATATGAAAAATAAAAGGTCAACTAGACAGGAAACGGGGTAAGAGGAGATAAGGATACTGATAAGAGTAATAATAATAATAATGTGAACACAAAGCGAAACCTAGTCACTCTGGGTAATAAGTCAATATTACCAGGGTAGGTTTAAAGTAAGAACAAACTGTTTTTGAACACGCAAAGGGGCTTTGAATTTTCGTATTGCTAAGGCTTCAATAAACTTTAGTATACGCCCTTTTACACTTTTATACAACACCACAAAGGCCGGGTTTAGACCAATCTTATGGCCTGTTTCAATTATATGTTTAGCAATAGAGGATGATGGATGTTTATCCTCTGCTCTTATTGGGTCACTTGATTGTATTTGTTTCTGAAGTCATTTGGGTACATGTTCACTCACCCTAATGTTGAGATCACGATTACTCCTCCCTATGTATGTGTGACCACACACACATTCAAATTGATAAATACAGTGGGATGTGACGCAATCGTTTCCATGTACTTTAGGTTTTGAATGAAGCATGCACCTTGTTCTTTCTTTGATGATGACCTTTGCTGCGCAATACGTTTTATTGATGACTGATTTAAGTCGTTGTTTCAATAAAAGGCTATTTGAATCACCTCTGAACGGTAGGGTGATGTAGACAGGCTTTTTTATGCCAAGGCTACAATAGGTCTCACTGTACCATGGACTTCCCATCTATTTGTGAATTTCAGAGGATAGCCATTTTCTATTAATGTTTTATTTTGCAACTTAACATCATCATCAGTGGCGTCATTTGTACAAATACGATCAAGTCTGTTGAAAAGGCACCTTATCAAATCACGTTTGTATTGCACAGGGCAATAACTATAATAACTAAGATATTGACCTGTCCACGTTGGTTTTCTAAAAATAGATCGCTTTACTGAACCATCTTCTCGTCTACTCAGGAGTATATCTAGGAAGGGAAGCTGATCGTTTTTCTCCTCTTCACATGAGAGACTAATAGGGTTTTGGAGAGTGTTAAGTTTATTTAATAAACGGTACATATACTCATTTCACTCACAAACAACTAAGATATCGTCCACATATCTCTTATAAAGTGACATGTTTTCGATTAGGCCATGAGTCTGATTTTCAACATGTGCTATGAACATATCTGCTAATAATGATCCTAGCAGACTACCCATAGCAACTCCATCAGTCTGACGAAAGTATTCACCTTCAAAAGTGAACTGAACTTTATCAGTACATAGTATTAGTAAATCTTTAAGAAGTTTTACAGGTACACATGATTGAAAATATTTTACAGATATGTAATCACATGATATATCAATGGTTTTTCTTCAAAGGTACATTTAGGTGATATTAATATCAAGGAAAAGACAATGTGTTCATTTGATGTAAATTCCTTGTTTACAAATTTCATAGTTGTTACTACGTTCTAATACAGTCACTCTTAGCCTTCTTCCAGTTTACTTCTGTACTGACCACTAATAAATATTTGATGCAACCACCGAATGACGGTGTAGTCCTGTTATTTAATTCCACGGCAGTATAAACCCACTGTTCTTCGCAAGGTTGAACTGAAGGACTAGTTTCTTGAATAGCCGATATCCATAAACCAAATCAAATCAGTGATTTAGTCCGGTTATTGTTATTATTTTAATTTAATTTTTATGTTAAGTGTTGTTGTCTTCGTCATAACTAAAACATACTTTCTCGGTTTTGTTTTGCTTTTATTATTGAAAATACAGTGGAGTATCAGAATACTAACTCATTAATGTTCTCATTTGACTTATTACAAAGATCTTCATTGAATCTGTGAGTTTGTAGTAAATTTGTTCACTATATCTCTGTTTGCTTATTTAAATGCTCAAATGGATTCTCATGGGTCAGGTTTCTATTTCAGATCATTAATTTATTTCCTCCCAATCCTCGACTTATTAAGTACATTTTAATGTTGATTGTGTCGTACTCTCTAAGCTGGATGATTTCATTTTGTAGCTTTCACTGTCATTTTAGTCGACATCATCAGTCCTGTGATTTAAATAATAGTGATCATTTTCAAATTAATTAATGTGTACTACCCACCTACCTACATGGCTTTGTTTAACAGTCAGTGTTTTCACCAACTGATGCCATATCTTGGTTTGCTTCTTTTTAGCTTTCTTGCAGTTTAATCCTACATCAATCATCATCGTACATAGTTGGTGGATGTGGATGTGTAAGATTTGTCCCAACCATCTCAGTCGATGAAGGTTCTCCGCTTCGTCAATCAATTTGCCATATTTACCTTGTATTCTGCGTCTAACCTTAAAATCTCTAAATTGAAGGTTCTAAAATACATGAACAATAGTTTAAAGATACTTATCATCAAATACTAGTTACCAACGAATATCCTCTATTTTTAAAGGTCATGTTTCACACCCATAAGGTAGAACGAAGTGAACTAGTGTTCATTTTACTGGTCCTTTTGTTAGCAGACGGATATCTCACCTACGCCACACGGGATTGAAGGCAAGGGGTTTAACCTACTAGAAAATGTTAGTATCTTAGACATTCACGAAACGTCTAAAAATAACTACTATTCATAGAATTCTATTTCAGATATTTATAAGAAGTAGTGTTTAAATACGTTGATTAGGTCATTCTCTTAAATAGTTTCAATAAACTCTTTAAGGTAGTTTGCGGCGAAATGACAACACTTGTCTGTAGAAAGCTTTATTAACTCCTATCATACTACACCGTTCTCGATTTCGTCTAAACGGGGGTTGAGAATACTACTCAACAGTGGACTTTATAAGATATGAATTTATTTATTTAAACATATAAACATTCGTACAAAGAAGCACCGAATATATATGCTCCGCATAAGCCACTTGATTTGTATGTGAGATGTGATACTTTCGGATGTCCAAACTGAAGCAGGTGGTTTCCTTAGGGACCACACTCCGAGCCTTTAACTTAGAGGTCTAATCCTTAAGGCAGTGGAGCAACGTTAGCAGATGCAATCCCATTGTGGCCGGTGACCTACGATAGGTTCATACGCCAATTGTTTCTTTAGGATCATGGAACCCAAGTGCACTATTGTTTTGAAGTCAAGGTTTTCTAACTCCCCTAAGTGAATCCTCCATGTCCACCAACCCTGTTAGGGCACCGAACATTTGCTTTTCGTCCTCTCAATTTCATAAACAACACCCCCGCCGCGATTTGGAAGTTCAATACTAATTATAAGGTTACTGTTTTTTATACATGTAACATTTTACCATTATCTTTTTCTCTCTCGTTAAATAGATCGTTTAATTTAGCTACTACTTGGCCGTTAGTACCTAGCCATGCAATCACTGAGAAACCGTCATGGAAGTGAGTTGTATTTTGTATATGTATAAACCATCGGTCTAATCAGTAAACAACTACCGTTGTCGAGTTTTTATGAAAAATAAACGTTGAAATAGAAATCATCAAAATTTTTTAAAAATTACTTGGTTTTAATGAATGTTATTTCTATGTCTGTTTTCTCAACTCATTGTCCTACCTAACTCGTCTTTCATTTGTTTCTATTGTTACTTTGTAGATCATTAAAGCCGGAAGGTGCACCAATTTGTCAATTACAATTATGTGCAAGTAATCCATTCGCCGATAAAATGAGTATGCTTTCATTTCGTATTTGTGTAAAATAAAATTTCTTACTTAATTGAGTTATTAACTTACTAGATGACATAGGTAAAATGTCCGGTGCTTTAACAGGGTCGGTGGATATCGAGGATTCACCTTGGGGAGTTGGAGAACCCGGATTCCAGAACAATGGTACATATGGGCTCCAGGATCCCAAGGAAACAATTGGCGTATGAACCGTGTGGATCAGACCTTTAGGTCGAAGGCTCTGGGTGTGGCTCCCTAAGAAAACCACCTGCTTCAGTTTGGACGTCCAGGCAGTATCACAGTCTTCACACAAATCGAATGATTTGTGTGGTGCATATCTATTTGGTGCTTCCTTGTACCAATGTTTATATGTTTAGATAAATAACACAACACGAATAAACAAAAAGTGGGGTAAAATTGGAACGAAATTGGGATCAACTTTCAATATAAGATTTCCCTTTATAGTTAATGTAACCGAATATCTCTATCTTCACCTGCTGACTAATCATAACTTACTTCCACCTCACATGTCATTAATGAAGTGATACTGTGGTGTATGCTACTGATGTCGATAGATATAAGTAGCATGAGTCACCAATCGGAAGTGAAATATCTGGAGTCAGAGGATTAAGAAGATCAAAGAAAAGAGAACATGAACAGAGAATGATTGCTGTGGAAATGAAGGAACAATGAATTCTGAGACGATTGATTGACATTTTGCAAATAAAGTATTTACTGTATGGTTCTCAGATTTTACTAAGATGTTCTGTAATTTTGTGTTCATTAACATTCAGTTGTCCCCACTTGTATTCTCGTTCATTGCGATACCAATGTCCGAGTGAAGTTGATAGAAGACTTTGTGATGGAGGTGATGTATCGCTCTTTATCCCACTCTCTCCGTGTTATCCTTTCACAACTTAATCTTCGAAGCCGTTTTAGTTTTACCAGAAACTACTAGGTGCTGTTGTTCAGTAGATGAATTCAGTAGCTTTGTGTTTACATTAGTCATTTTTCAACAAGTAGTTTGTGGGTCTGAACCTCACCTCATTGATATCAAAGAAGCCTGATCGTAGTACGTATTCTCAGGACTCATATAAAACAGTGTGACACAAAATCGAATAGCAGCAATGGTGGTGATAAACTAAAAGAAATACGTTTAAAAGGTATAGATGAAATCAAACAATGCAAAATATAAGATAATATTAGTACTTAAAATCTAATGGAAGGTAAGAAAAAGAATGCATCCATAGCAATGTAAATTGATTACGAACCGTGTTAACCGAATTCTTCAGTAATGTATTATAATTCACTCACAAATACCCCAACCACGAATGTTTATACTTCCGGACTCTGTTCTCACTCATAGTCAATAATTTTATCTGATTGATGCTGATTCCTTGATCTGACTACTACTAGCCTTAAACTCAAATATAAACTTCTATTTTACTGCATAGTGTGACAACATTTAGTCATGTTTTGTGAAAGCTGATTTATTATATATGTGGTTAATGTACACTTTTGTTGTTACACTATTGTTTTAGGTGTACGAATTCAGCGGTTGTTTAAATGTTGTTCTAAATATGAACAACCTATTCAAACGACTGATATCTCATCAGACAATCCTAGTAAGCATAATGTTTATATTACAATAATTTTTCTTGTTTTCTAATATTGTATTCATTTTGTGTTTAAACTATAAATTACCTAAATATATACAGAGAACTGCCCCTAAATGCCATGGTACGGCCGAGAGTGTGGAGAGTTCGCTCACCCTCTTCAAATGCTATCGCCTGGCCACGTGCATACAATCACTCTCAGGGAAGTCCTACTCACCAACTTCTCGTAGCATTACTGTTGTTTACGAAATTGAGAGGACGTAAAGCGAATGCCCTGCGCTTTAACCGGGTTGGTGGATATAGAGAGTCCACCTACGGGAGTTGGATATCCTGATTCAAAACCAATGCTCCACATGGGCTCTAGTATGCTGAAGTAACGAATGGCGTATGAACCAATCGTTGGTCACTGGCTACCATGGGACTGCTTCTCCTAACGTTGCTCCACTGCCTTGTGGATCAGACCTTCAGGTCGAAGGCTCCGAGTGTGGCCCCCTAAGTAAACCACCTACTTCAGTTTGGGCACCCGGGCAGTATCGCAGCCCTCACACAAATCAAATGAGATCTGTGTGGCGCATATCTATTTGGTACCTCGTACCGATATCTATGTGTTCAGATAATAATAATAATAATAATAATAATAACAGAACTACTGATATAAACTTTTCAAATGGTTTACTTATAACCTCAATAAAAATGTACGACGCTTGAATTGATCTTGGAATACATACACTTTGATTGGACGGTTTAACTGCATAACTTTCATTGTCTGATATCCAGATATTTACTTAAACTACTAAAGAATTTCGAAGAAAATATTCTGACATTCAGATTGATCTTTAATTAGTATGTTGTATTGAATTGTGTAATAAAAAGACGAAGATTATCAGAACTATATGATGAATAGTTTAGCGTAATACATTTCGAATAATCTGACCACACATTATATATTTGTTAAGAACATTTATATATAAAAATGAAAGGTCAACTAGATTAGAAGTGGAGGGTAAGTGGGAGACAAAGATACTAATAAACTGTATTGGCCCCATACCCACACACGATTATCATTGTACAAAAGGCAAGTACTCAAATATATTTTTCTATCTAGACGATGTTTTAAATGATTCGTAATGAATAATGTGTTTTTATCAGTTAAAAACTATCACCATTGGATGCCGGCTCAGTGGTCCAGTTGGTTAAGCGTTCGCACGCGAGACCGAAAACCCTGGGTTCGAATCCCGCGAGCAGGATCGTGGATGCGCACTGCTGAGGAGTCCCACAACAGGACGAAACAGCCGTCCAGTGCTTCCAGGTTTTCAATTGTGGTGGTCTAACATCAATCGGTTCATGATCTCAATCAAAAACCTAAAAGAACTCTGTTCGATAGATGCTTGATACATTGCCAAGCAATGCGACCAGCTGATAACTACTGTTCACTACATCGAGTTATTGTTATTAAATAGACTGATTATCAGACGACAAACAACCAGCTAGTCGAATGAGTGTTGGATAAGTTTCGCAAGCAAATTATGTAGAAAAATAAGCGCGAAATTGAACATAGATTATATGTTATTTTTAAAAAAAAAAACAGGATGTTTTGAGAATATGAGCTATTGTCGGCCACTCAGTTACAAATAACGTGACAATCAGGCTTAATTCTTGCCCAGCAAACCAGTCACATCCTATTCGCGAAGAAAATAGTTTAGAATCCTTTCATAATAACATCAGGAACAGAATAATAAAGATCCATCTGATTGCTCGTCTTAATTTTTCCTAAAAAGTATGTTTACATTTTGTATATATGTGTCTGGTCCTAAGTTGTAGTTGACTGACTGACGTTTTATATACACTGTACAACTGAACTATATTGATATGGCTATTTCATTGCTCGATTGTCATATCGATGAATTGTCATCTATCATCACAATTGTTATATATTTAGTCGACTATACAATCAAAGATGCGATAAAGTCAAACTGCTAACTGTATTCGTACTTTACCCCCACCCCCCGAATTACTTTTTAACTTCAAAAATGCTGAAAATCCAGGAGAAAGTAAGAATTTTTTTCGTTGTGATTCCAATTGTAATAGTGATACATTGAATTTAGTCAAACTTTTCTTGTGATTTATAAGTTAATATATCAAATTGAACTTGAAGAGTTCCGTTTAGTTTTCCATTAGATGTTCGTTGAATACATGTATTTTTCTTTTAATCAATTTCTGCCATTTTCGTTATGAAGTTTTAATGTTTCAAATTAATAATCTTATATGTTTTATGTTCTTAATTATTATTATTCTATTCAATATTATTATTGTTTAGGTTCCGTTTTGTCCAGTGATTCAGTTATTCAGTTTCTACTAGTAAGTAGTAGTGATAGAATATCCGTGTATTTTGTTGTTGTTGTTGTTGTTGTTGTTGAAAACATTTGTTTTAATTAGTTCTTCAAACTTAACAATTTGGAGAGGTGATTAGGTTTATTTTATTTTATTTGAACACATAGATATTGGTACAAAGAGGAACCAAATACATATGCGCTACACAATAACAATGTGAATGTAAAGTGATAGAGAATGTTAAGTGCGTATAAAGATGAAGCGCTTAGTTACAGTATGCTTAACTATCAAAATAAATTTGTTGTTCTTAAGTAATATCATTGATTATAAGTTTGTTTTGATATGATTATACACTCATTAACTACTGTTCTTTGTATGTGTCCATCTACTCAAAATCTATACTTGTTGGTAAATTATTTATTCATTTATTATATTTATTTAGACACAGAAACATTGGTACAAGGAGGTACCAAATAGATATACGCCACACAGATCTCATTCGATATATGTGAGGGTTGTGATACTGCCCGGGTGCCCAAACTGTGAAGTAGGTGGTTTTTCAGGAGGCCACACCCTGAGCCTTTGACCTAAAGGTCTGATCCACAAGGCAGTGGAGCATCGTAAGGAGATGGAGTCCCATGGTAGCCAGTGACCAATAATTGGTTCATACGTCATTTGTTCCTTCAGGATGCTGGAGCCCATGTGGAGCATTGGTTTTGAATCAGGATATCCAACTCCCGTAGGTGGACTCTCTATATCCACCAACTCGGTTAAAGCGCAGGGCATTCGCTTTCCGTCCTCTCAATTTCGTAAACAACAGTAATGCCGCGAGAAGGCAGTGAGTAGGACCACCCTGTCAAAGGCTATATACGCGTGGTCATGTGAGGGCATTTTGAGAGGGTGAGCGGACTTTCTCCACTCTCAACCGTACCACGGTATTTGGGGGCCTTCCTATAGTAGTGCGTCCTCTGCATTTATCGGTCATATTTTAGGTATGAAGTTATTTTCGTATTATATTTCACGTGGTATTTTTTTCATTCAATAATATCATGGATTTTTACGATTTTTTTTCTTTTATCGTGTTTTGCTTGAAAAAAGTTTCTTTTTCCTGATGCTGACGCTGAAGGTGTTTGTAATAAAGTTCTTCATAATGAACTAACATCATCTTTTGGTGATTTATCAATACATGAATTGTTAATATGGAAACGTCGACAGATTATGAATTCTTCAGAGGTAAGTTAGTATTATTTTCTAGGGGGAATAATTAATACAGTAGATTTGGCCAATAGGATTTTTTTTCTAAAGCGCTGTAATGGAAGTATAATGTTTGATTGATTTGATGCTTGAAGCTGAATAATTTAAGTCTGTCAAAATTTGTCAGTTAGTCAGTCAGGTACAATGTAGGATCAGGCACATATATGCATCGGTCCAAGCTGCCACATGTTTTCAGCACAAAAAGATGTATACCGGATTCATAGAAGTAGTTAAGTCAATGGTGGTAATACATAAAAGAAAGATTGCATATAAGGACATAGTACACGAAGAAAGAATTAGTTCTTAGAAAGAAAGACATGAAGTGATTTTAATCTCTTAGTTTAAGGGAAGACAGAGAGTGTATACACCTACGCCATTGTGATCGATTCTAAGCCATGTCACACAGTTTCCATCCATTGATTACGATCGTCACACGGACCCCAACCAAGTAGTCTGCATCTAGCACATGGCTCTGACCAGAAGTTAGTGCCTTTATGGACTGATGCCAAGTTTGCGTTTGGCCACCCTTAACTTTCTTCCAACCATCTCCCAACACTAGTCAGCATTACGCGTTATGGTAAACTGTGTTTAGGCATACGTAACACAGCCTGACGATCTCAGTCGATGAAAATTCACAACCTCATCAATTGATTTACCATCATTCCCTAATACCCTACGTCTATTTTTTTGAACAACTTTGCGACAAAACTGAACTAAGTATTTATTACATTACCTACCCACTTGAAGACAGGAGATTGTTTATAAAGTAGGATTTTCTTAATTGATTCTTTATCTTTTGATAAATGTTTAAATTAATCAACCTTACTAGAAATAATCTTCCTTCTACTTTTGAAAAGCTAATATCGCTACAAATATGGATATATATTCTTTAATGCACATACAAGAAAGTTAACTTTGTTGTCAAATATCTTAGGTAGTTTAATCAAATCATACTTTCTTGTATTTCATATAGTGGGTAAGATACACAGAACAAAAGTCATTTAGTAAATATTTCTGCAAATAGATGGTGTTTAATTGATGAAGTTGGATACGAAGGATCCACCTTGGGGAGTTAGAAAACCCTGATTCCAAACCAATGGTGCACACGGGCTCCAGTGTCCTGAAGGAACAAATTGCATATGAACCGACCGTTGGTCACCGGCTACCATGGGACTGCTTCTCTTAGCGTAATCCCACTGCCTTATGGATTAGACCTTTAGGTCAAAGGCTTTGGTTGTAGTCTTCTTAGGAAACCACCTGGTTCGGTTTGGGCACCCAGGCAGTATCCCAGTCCTCACACAAATCGAATGATTTATGTGGCGCATATCTATGTTTATTTGTTTAAATAAATAAATAAATAATGAACTCAAGAATGTGTAACTCAGATAACAGAGTACTTGAGCTAAGCATATGTTAATTAAGGATTCACGGTGAATTATTATTTTTTTTCAAAACAATAAAGAATAATTATCAGAATGTGTTTTGTGGAGATTTTTTAGAAATTTTCACAGATTGAACTCATGAGTCAGTTGTGAGATAGGAACTCACTGAAGACAATGGTGTACGGTAGCGCAACTTCGTGGATTGGTTGAAGTTAGACATTAACACCATTCGATGCCGGCTCAGCGGTCTAATGGTTAAGTGCTCGCGCGCGAAGCCAGTAGGTCCTGGGTTCGAGCCCCGGGTGGTGCGGGGTCGTGGATGCGTACTGCTGAGGAGTCCCGTACTAGGACGAAGCGGCCGTCCAGTGCTTCCAGGTTTTCAATGGTGGTCTAGCTTCAACTGACTCATGAGTTCAATCTGTGAAAATAAAGAATAAGGCGACACGACAGATACATTTGATTAATATTTACCTTATTTATTTCTCTTGAATTTAAGAGACAAAAATTTGCTTCTATTTTTGGCTTACCAAATCCTACTTCGTTAATACATCGTTTAGCTGTGATCATTGCTAATCTTCTTGTTTATAAACAATATGAATTCAATGATTGTTTATTATTGATCAATTCGATTTTTAATGAATTTTACATTGAATTACAATTACGTTATGATCGTCTAATATGTTTACCATCACAAATATTATATGAAGAAGTATTCAACAATAATGAGATAATAATAATAGAAGAAGTATCAATTGATGAAAATAAACCATCGTTAAATGCATGGAATCACAATTCAATCCAATCAATTAATGGATTAAAATTTAATGATTGGCCTATTGATTGTTACTACAATTTAGATTGTATTTTACATCGATTTAATGGGTGCATTTTGAAGGGTATATTATTTTTGGGTATTTTCTGTTTAGTTAATTGTTGTTTTCTGCTTCATATAAATGTCAATGTGCTTGTTATGTACAAAATAAGTAGTATAATGAACATTATGACTCTTTATAGACTATTATTCTCTACTACATAGGTCAGTCAATCAATTTATTGATCACTGAGTAGTGATCAATATCACTATTTATCTAGTATCCTGTAGTGTTGACCAAATTCCATGGCCGCCAGTATAAGTAACTTTACGTAGCGTGTGCTACGTTTTGATGTTAGGTCGTTGTCAATAGTCAGCCAGAAACTTCTGAACTTGGTCATTCATTCAGTGACAGTATGATATCTGACAAAAATATGTATCAGTCAAAGCGATTACACTTCTAAGCAGCGAAAACAAATTGGATGTAGTAAACGAGATAGACCGATAAAATTGCAGAAGAAAAGGGATTGATTAAAACTCGGTTTAAAAAGATAAGCTCCTCTACATCATTGGGAACTATTTGGAGCTGTTAAATGACGCTCCCAACCATACATTACTATAATCCCAGGGATTCAAAACTGGAAAGGTTTTGCTACTGACGTGACTCAGGTTAACGGTTAGTAAATTGATTTACCGATGCATTGTCTTAGTTTGAAAACCGATAATTTTTTTCAATTTTCTCATTCTACCTCGCATTGCTAAAGTATTCCATGTCAAGGCATGTGAAAGATACCTCAGAACGAACTGAGATTACACAACCTCATCAGTTAATTTATAATTTTATGCGTACAATCGGTTGCATTAAAATTATTATTGATTAACTATGTTTGATGTATTGAAGAAAAAAAACATGATCTTTTATTTTTATTTTTAAATCACAGCTAGAGAAGGTCATCAACATCAAACATCAAAAGTCCAAAGTGATGATGATGACGATGGTGATGCATATTTTGACGTTTATGATGAAACTTCGCCATCATCTCATGATGACGTTAAGTCGGTTCATCCGAAAACTAATTGGTTAGATGCTTGCTGTAAGTTATGTATTAAAAATTAAATGAATAATTGTGTGGTTGATGCTCTCGATTTGATTTGTAAATTTGAATAAAAATACAATCTATTTTTTGAATAAGGGCGCTGATAATTAGGTGACTTCAGTAGAAATCAATGGTTTAGGTCATTATTGGTAAATCTATTTGAACGCTTGGATCGGTTTCCTAAGCTCTTCTAGTAACCCTCAGGCCAATTTTACAAGGCAACCTGAACACGAGAGAAAAGACGCGAAAGAACGCTTCAATGCAATGTTAGTTTATGTACAGAAATCTAGGGTATTTATAGCATTTCGGAGGGCCTTGGGCTTCTGTAAAGTTTTGCAACCTTTCTAAACATAGTAGCAGGTTTGGTAATCTTCCAATCAGGAATGTATCACATGACTTTTCACTTCCTAGATGTTTCTTAGAAACTTTTATTGATTTCTGATTAGACGTCTCTCAGGGTTTTTAGGGCCCGTTTTTTCAAGGGATTTTCTGGGTCTCCTCATTACTTAGTCTATGAAGTAAACACTTTTGTTTCAAATTTATAATCTTTCTACTAGTTAGTCGGAACGATCTATCCTGTTGTTAAACCAACCAGAACAAACTATTTGGTCACTTCACTGTTATTTTACGCTGCTCAGAAATACGTGTGAAGTGTGGTATTTCTCCTTCAGATTATTTCTTCGAAGTTATAGAGAAGCGTTTTTTGATGGGATTTTGTTCTCTGAGCCGGATGTTTTGGTCGTGGAGCTTTCATCGTTCTTCTGAACGACATCATTAGCACAAACTCCAGATAGACTTCTGTCTATCTATTTGAAGTTTGTGCTGATGATATCGTTCAGAAGAACGATGAAAGCTCCACGACCAAAACATCCAGCTCAGAGAACAAAACCCCATCAAAATCATCCAGCTGAGCTACGAATCATCTCCACCATCTCAGAAGCCTTTTTCTTCTGATATTCCGTACCTGAGTATGATATATGGTTCTTATGAATAGCAATCATATTTCACTTGGTATCGTATCGTTTGATATGATTAAATCACAGGACACATCACAGTATTATTATAATTCACCTTGTTAAAAATTTGGGGTAAAAGAGGCGTGGTTGATGAACTTGGGTTTCAATCAATAATTTATGAGTTCCACATCCCACTCTATCTACTTCGGTTTTCGGTTAGCCGAGTAATCTGTACACAACATAGTTCGAATCTGGACTTGGTTACCGAAGTACATTATATATGTTTCTTATACCAGTAAACAATTTAGTCGATTTATGAATTACGAAACGTTTGTAGTCTCAATTAAATTAGACAATTTCATACTTAACAACTTCATGATCCTATACATGTTACTTCCAGTGTATACAACTATAGTGTTTTGTTTATCTGTCTATCAAGCACTGACGACTGTTACAACAATCATTACTAATCTCTTTTTTTATATTTCTCTATCATTTTATAAATACATATTTACTAGCTAGAAATGATGCATTATCGGAAGCAGAAAGTATACTTGATTGGCTTAAATCACGGTCTTTAATTGATCATTTACATTCACTTCTACCGCATATCATACTAGAATGTATGCTTACATTCCATTCTTTAAGTAAGTTGATTGGATAATATGGAGATAATGATCTTACAATTATTTATTCACTTTATAACATTCTACTATTAATTATGGGGAAAATTCGGTATTATGTATAATATGTGACATTTATTTGTTGGAAACCACAATTTCATTGTCTTCACTTAATAGTTCCCAAATTCGTTCCCATGATTAATTAAACAGACTAATATTTCATTGGATTTCCTGGTTTAGAAGCTGTTCTCAACCTGTTTTTTTTTTCTTCAGTGTAACTACTCCTGTTAACTGCAAACAGACAACCCATTCGACCATATGAAACAACGATCCTATTGTTAGCTATTGATAGTCTGAATGCTTGAACACAGATGAGAAACTTCAGTAGAATAGTAATTATATTATAAGTGACTTTTGATTAATACCAGTTGCTAGTAGGTTAACTATTATCATGCATTTTTAGTGATGTGTATTATTTTCCAGAGAATCTGTAAATAAAAACAATGATTTTATAATCAACTGTCTGTAATGTGTCTGTTCCTGTCGTTTACATGTTAATAGTATTTGCCTACATGTATTTATTATTTGTGTAACATCTTATCATTTTGAACAACAATATGTTTGTTGTATCTGGTATATTTCATTTGCATAACAATTCCGATCCCATAAGTATTCAGTTCCCAGAGAATATACACCTTAGTTATTTAAGGTCGTTATTAGATGTGGTCGAAGAATCGAACTTTCGGTGTTGATTTTGTCATCCTTTATAAAAACACTAAAAGAGGTCACCAATACTTGCGTCTTATTGTACTTCTTTTTGTGATATAATTGATCAATATGTGCTGGCAATGAGCTTTTCTATAATCGTCTGAATGTTACTGTTGGGCTTATCCCAGTAGCTGCTTGTAAACGGAATCAACGAATTATTGTTGTGACGGTCAGTGTTTGAAAGCTAAACCCCAAATGACTACTTGAGCGAGAAAGTATATTGGGCTGCCGAAAAAAAATGCACAAATATATATATATATATATATATATATATATATATATATATATATATATATATATATGTAAATCTATCCCTTATAAAAATTGGTCCATTTTTTAGCCGATGAAATGCACTTGTACTTTATGTCACTTCTGATTGCCATCAATTGACCTTCTTATTAAGCTACTTCTAATGGGCACTTCATATCAATTATCATTTAAGTTTACGTCCTATTGGAGAAAAAACCAGAACACAGTGGGATTTAGAATTAAGTTTATGAAATGACTTGTAGGATTTCAGCCTGTCTATTGAGTCAGACTTACTAACTAAACCTCTCTGCACGTACGTTACTATAGTGATAAATACTGGAAATAGTGAGATATCTGGAGGTCAATTACACCATGAAACACGAACCAACTAAACAATATATCATTGAATTAATTGAATGAGTATTAAATTTACAACAATCACTATTAATCAGTCACATAACACGAGGTTGTATTAAGTGGAATAATTATCGATTAATAGAGGTCAATTTAGCTCTATTTTCAAGTAAATTTCAAGATTTAGTTTACCTAAGGCAGACTACACGATAATAGGAATAAAATCTTCATTACAAGGTACAACAGAGGACTGAAATATAAAGAGGAGAGTACAAATGAATGGGATAATTTATTCGTTGCGACAAAAACACTGTCGTAGAACTCGGGTCACTTAAGTAGTTGTATATAACTCAAACTACTAAGCAATAATAAGTAGTGTATCATAACTTACTAAAGTAGGATAAGCGAGGAAGAAAAAATATTCAGCTCTAACGTAGAACCAGGCACATATATGCATCAGTTCAAGTTGCCACACTCCATTGGCATATCAAAATGATAACTAAATTCATTGAATCGAATACTTCAATGATAGTAATTTACTAAAAAATAAGATTACGCATAAGGATAGGCAGAAAGAATTAGTTTTCAGAAAGGAAGGTATGAAGTGATTTTAATCTCACAGTTTAAGGCCAGACAAAGAGTGTATACACTTACGTCATTGTGATCGATTCTGAGCTATGTCACGCAGAGTCCCCAAATATTTGTTATGATAATGACGCGGACCCCAACCAAGTGGTCTGCATCTGCCAACACGTCTCAGAGTAGAAGTTAGTGACTTTATGGTGTGATACCACGTTTTGGTTTGGCTGTCCCTAACTGAGGAAAAAATAAAGTCAAATTGTCTGCATAACATATTTGCAAGCTATCATATTATTATTATTATTATAATTAGCTTTATTCAATATTATAATTTTGGTACAATATAGAATTCTCAGCGCAAAGTATTTCAACAAGTTTCCGTTTCTTTCTTCTTGGTCGGTCCTGGCGATAAATATTGGGGAATCGCCAGTTAGATGTTAGCACTTCAGTGAATGAACAACTGAATAATGTACATTCTTTTCGTTGTACATTGCCAGCAACTATATTGTCTCTTATTGAGTTTTCTGTAACTTTGACAACGAAAGGTTGTACACTTTTCAGAAACGCAGCAGAATAGGTTATGCGATTAATAAACATAATGATATATTAAAACAAACAACAATAGATAACTTGTTGAAATATCTAGATGACAGGAACAGGTAGCCCAGATGATCAAGCAGGCCGCCCTGATATTCCTTATTCAGCATAAATACGATGTTAAGTCGTTGTTATTACTTAGCTTTACACCTTTTGTCTTAAATTTGTTAATCCTTCATTTTTAAGGAAATTAATTATTCCTACCTTTTTAGTGCTCTTAGGCACATGTGTGTACCAATGAGAATTCCTTACCCTACTACCGTGGTCCACATCTTGTTTCTGTTCAGAATTAAGGAATATTCGAGCGATCGTTTGTTACCACTGACTGAACCATCAGACTTTACAGTTATAAATCCATGTTTATTGTATAACAATAATCAACGAACACATTCCTAAATGAAATTAGATCATATTATGAGTTAAGATAGTGAACTGTTGTGTCTTTTACGACCCAAATACATACATACTGTGCCTTCCTCTTGATTTGAAAAGTCATTTAAATAGATGGGAATAGTCGTTGCAAGGATGCCAAGTTATCAACAATGCAATAAACTAAATCTTGTGAATATAATGCATGTTTAGGTGCAAATGTGTTATGTTGGGTTATTGACATATTAGTAATAAAGTCGTGCCAATGTAGTAGGTAATGGGAGACATGTTTTCAGAGAAATGGTTGAAATATAAAGTGATATTCTCACAAACTTTCATGTCATAAGACCTCTTTAAATAAACTATTTTTAACGGAGAATAATCATATGATTATAATTTAGACATGAATAATGTAACACACTAAATAAATAATCCAGGCATATTTGACTCAACTATCCGATTTAAACCATTAAGGAGCATAAATGCCATGATACTGACGGAATAAGTGGCATGCAGATCGACTTTAGTCTTTGGATCATATCTTCTTACACTGCTTCACTACCTGGTAGATTATAAATGTTATAAGGTTGACTGATATTTTATGATGTTTGTGATTTATTAACTATTTCTTTGTCGTTCTATTGTAATATGTGTTATTTCCTTTATCACATCTGATTTATTTAGTCCCTCATTGTCGACTATCTAAATGGTATTCGTCTATGCTCAAAAAGCTTGATCAGGAAATCTATGATCTATTAAAAATTCATTCCACTAAACCGGCATATGTGGACGTAGTATCAAAAGTCACAAAATCTGTAAGTTATTTGTTTATCTATTGTACGAATAACATTTTTATCGCTATAAATAATTAAATTTTATATATGTTCCCAGTTTTGGATTCAGATGTTCTGATAGTCTTATTACTTACTTCCTTACGCCTGTTACTCTTAATGGAGCATAGGCCGCTGACCAGCATTCTCCAACCCACTCTGTTCTGGGCCTTCTTTTCTAGTTCCATCCAATTCTTGTTCATTTTTCTCATGTCTATTTCCATTTCCCGGCGTAATGTGTTCTTTGGTCTTCCTCTTCTCCTTTGGCCTTGAGGATTCCATGTGGGGGCTTGTCTTGTGACGCAGTTGGGTGCTTTCCTCAATGTGTGTCCTATCCACTTTCAGCGCTTCTTCCTGATTTCCTCCTCCGCTGGGATCTGGTTTGTTCTCTCCCACAGTAGGTTGTTGCTAATAGTGTCCAGGCAAAGGATCTGAAGTATTTTGTGTAGACAACTATTAATAAACACCTGTGTTTTCTGGATGATAGCTTCCGTAGTTCTCCAGGTTTCTTCCCCATACAGTAGAACTGTCTTGACATTTGTATTGGAAATCCTGACCATTGTGTTGGTTGACAGTTGCTTTGAGTTCCAGATGTTCCTCAGTTGTAAATATGCTGCTCTTGCTTTGCCGATCCGCGCCTTCATATCTGCATCAGATCCACCCTGTTCATCAATGATGCTGCCCAAATATGTAAAGGTTTTTACATCTTCCAAATCTTCTCCGTCAATTGTGACTGGATTGGTGCATTCTGTGTTGTATCGGAGAATCCTGCTTTTCCCTTTGTGTATATTGAGACCTATTGCTGCTGAGGCTATTGCTACACTGGTCGTCTTCTGCATCTGTTGTTGCGTTTGGGATAGAAGAGCCAGATCATCTGCGAAGTCTAGATGGTCCAGCTGCATCCTAGATATCCACTGTATCCTGTGCTTCCCTGATAGTCTTATTAAAGTACACTAATTTGGATACAGTATTTAGTATGTTCGATAGCCAACACGCCTTATACACAAGTTGCTTACTGACTAACCAGGACACCACAACAGACCTAATGTAACTTACATGAGAGCTCTTATTTTTCAAAAGACAATTATATAAATTATCATTATAGTATATATAATATGGTGACAAACAAATTACTCAATAGAAATAGATGTGTATTACATAGTGTTGTCACTTTTCAATGGCTACAATACTACTGAAATATGAGAAAGATTACAGTAATAAATGTTTTTGTGGGAATTCTTTCAAAAGGTCAATAATAATATCGATTTTGATCAATCTCTCCATTGACTGTAAAATTTCACCACATCTTACCATTTTCTTCATTAGACTTTAGGTTAGGATATAATCTTCTTTCAGTATTTAATATTTCTTAACAATTTCTGATAAACCTTCAGTCTAACTTTTAAAAGACTATTACAAATATTGATTGAAGATAAATACAGTTGTAACAGCTTCATTGAGTGATATCATCTGTTGTAACGGGTGTGTGACTGCAGGTTTTTGATAAGCAGCGTTATTTATCGATCGCGATCTGTGACAGTGGACACGGAAAACACGTACGGACGACCTAGTGCCCTGATTGGCCCTGCTTCGCTGTCCGTCCTAGCCCAGTTGAGTGAAGAACACAAGTCACAGCCTCGGAGTTATGAATCATTGTATTTCAAACATACTCTATTTATATACCAAGCAAACAAACCACATCGTACCATAAAATAGGAAACAACATTTGTACAATATTTAACAAGTGAAATAAACATCGACCAATAAGAAATGTACATTTAAGGTTCAAGGACACCATTGAACTTAACATGGTAATTATTGGTCTCTTTTTCCGACTATCCCAACATCATCGAAATAAAAATTGACTTCAGTAACCAGTCTATCCAGTGATGTTACAAAATTAATGTTGTTGTATACTGTGAGTAATTGATTGACGAGTAACGTCACTTGGAAGTTAAACACATTAGAATCATTCTGATATACAACACAATGACCAGCGATCATATGACACTTGTTAGAAAACCTCTGGAAGAGATGAAAGTTTTCATACACTTGGGCAGCATCATCGATAAATAAAGAGGATTTGATGGAGATTTGAATGCAAGGATCGGTAAAACAGTATCAGCATTCCTACAGTTGAACAACATATGGAACTCAGAATAACTGTCAACCAATATCAAAGTCAGAATCTTCAATACGAACGTCAAGACAGTTCTATTTTACGGAGCTGAAACTTGAAAAACAACTATAACCATCACTAAAAGGTTAAAGGTATTTATAAACAATTGTCTATGCAAGATACTTCAGATCCATTGGGCAGACACCATCAGCAACAACTGACTGCAGCTGAGAACAAACCAACCAACCAAGATGCTGGAGATGGTTAGGAGATCTATTACAGAAATCATCAAACTGTATCACGAGGCAAACCCTAACTTGAAATCCTGAAGGCAAAAGAAAAAAGAGGAAGATCCAAGAACACATCGTACCGGAAATTAGAAGTAGACATTAAAAGAATAAATAACCCTTGACGACCACTAGGTAGTGCAACTTAGAAAAGAGTTGTTTAGATGATCTTTGCTCCACGAAGTATAACAGGTGTAAATTCACTTAACTATTTGACCACCAAGGAAGGAAACCATAATCTTTAGATATCTACGCAAACGCGTTATATTCAGATCAGTGCTTTGGTATCCAGTGATTCATATAAAAAATTTCAGTCAATCCACATTCGTAAACTTACCCGAGAATTGAACTCAAAACATTCATATCTCATAGTGAACACATAATTACTAAAACCATTACTTTGATGTTCAATAATATCACAACTAAAATCAATCTATAACGAATTCTACTCATTTATTCGTATACGCTTGTTACTCCACAAAATTATTGTGTATTGTTATATCTTGAAGGTTGTTTTCTTGATATACCGCGTGTAACTGAGCACTAGAACACCAAAATCCTTCCAAGTCGCAATAAGAAGACAGAAGACTAATAAAAGGAATATTAATGCAAACAGTGTCGATTATAGTACAAAATCATCAGGTATTTGTAGTTCTTAGTAAGAACGAAATCATCACTAAAGTCCTCCAATCCCCATACAAAGGGTTATTAACACGTAGGAATTCTAGAATATTCTACCGAAAGGTGATTGGATGGAATATCTTCGGCTCTTTCTGAACTCCCTCGAGTTCACTCGTGGTCCGTCGTCACATGTATTTGTGTTTCTTTCCTTTGTTTTTAAAAAAAAGTTTCTCTTGACAATATTTAACAAGCACATTTTGTGTGTGTGTGTGTGTTTCTTTTTCTACCTTATTAATTATTACATATTTTAGTTTCCATTGTCAACATTTTGTGATATCTTAGAAATTATTGCTGAATTTTCAATTCAATTCACATGTTTCAATGAATTAATTTATAATGTTATTCTTTGTGGTAAGTTTTAATTGAATCTTCCCATTGATATTTAGGACTGTAATTGATTAATCTTTTATTGGGATATGTGCATACTGTGTGTGTATTGCCTTCATTCACAAGTATTATTATAAGCAAAGATGAATAGTGGTTAGCAGTGGATGTTTGATGCGAACGGTACTAGGTTCTAGTTCCAGGGTGAACATCAACTCTGAGATGCAGGTAAATCCAGCTGACGAGTCTCAAATAGGGCGAAACCCGCATCCTGGATTTCACTGCTAGCCACTATCCATCTTTGCTTAGAATTATTACGGATTTAAAATAAATGAATATTTTCATTTTATTTCAGAAAATTTTGCCAGTATTATGTAATGTATGAATAAGCTCTTGTCATTTTGTGAGACTGGGAAACAAATTCAAATAGATAAATGAGCTTATAATCAGAGAGGGGTTTTGTTGAGATTGTAGCAATTGAATAATTGAATTCATGAGTCAGTTGAAGTTAGAGCACCATGGAAAACCTGAGGCACTGGACGGGCTACTCAGCAGTTCGCACCCACGAGATTCGAACCCAGGACCTATCAGTCTCACGCGCGGACACTTAACCTTTAGACCACTGAGCCGGCATCCAACGATGTTACTATTTAACATTAATCAATCCACGAAAATGAGCGTATGTATTGAGGTATAGAAAAACAATAATGTTTATTCAAAAAATAATATAATCCGTGATAATGTAGATCGATTAGTTAATAGTTAATGTACTTGCTTAGAAAGGTCGTATTTTAATATTGACGGTCTAAACATAAAAGACATTTTGCTTAAAGTTCGATAGTACATACATGATCTGAGCTACATGAAACTCAATTGTCAAATGAATAAAGGGAATCGGTAAGAGTTCCATTGCACTCAAGCTTCTTGTTAGCTGATAGTCGTAAACATGGTATCTCTCTCTGTGCAGCATTGAAACAAATGAAACCATTTTGATAATACATCTATTAAGTCTTCATATGTATTCACGCTCCTTATAGGGTACGTTAACTAGTTATTTGTAGAGAGTCAGCTACAACGTAGGATCAAGCACTTATATGCATCGGTTCAAGTTTCCACACTCCATTAGCATATTAAAATAATAACCAAATTCATTGAATCGGATACTTCAATGGTAGTAATATATTAAAAAAGTAAGATTACATATAAGGATAGAGGGAAAGAATTAGTCCACAAAAATTATGGTATAAAGTATTTTTAATTTCACAGTTTAAAGGAAGACAAAGAGTGTATACACCTATTTCATTGTGATCGATTTTAAGCCATGTCACTCAGAGTCTCTAACCATTGGTTACGATGGTCACGCGGACTCCAACCAAGTAATATGAATCTGCTAACATGTCTCAGAGTAGAAGTTATTGACTTTATAGTATGATAACACATTTTGGTTTGACCGTCCCTAACTTTCTTCCAACCATCTCCAACACTAGTCAGGATTGCGCGTCGTGGTAATCAGTGTTCAGACATACGTAACATGTGACCCAAGTTATATATAACTATAAAAATATTGTCTGTTCTGTTCTCTTGATCTGAAAATGCGTAATTAAAATGTGTTGCTACACTAATCTTATTGTATAGCTGTAACGTGAACTACCCTAAACATAATCACAAATCTATATATTTATTTCTATTTATTAATCACTATGATGTTAGTGGTAGTTGGTTTAGGTGAAATTCCTATGATCACCATTAAGTGAATTACAACGTGAGTATTTACTAAGAATATCTTTATTGAAGATTTAATGAAGTTAAAATTCAAGAGACAACTAAATATTATCGTAATTCTGAACATAAAGTGTTAATTAACTATTTGCATTGGTTCTATAACTGACCTTACGATCAATCCGCAAGAAACATATGACCTTTCTAGCATTATCGTACAATCCAAAACGCATAATATTAGTAATATCTTATAATGATACTGTGGTTTTGGGTTACTTGTATCCATATAAGTAGTATATAACAGTGGTCAGGCATAGAATGTATTTCAATAGAAAGTCGATGAGGAAAGAACGGAAACTGAACGCAATTGGTATAAAAACGCATGAACAATGAACTGATATTTGTAGAGGAACAGTGGAGTTCGACACGATGGATTGATATTTTGCAAATTAACAATTACTGCTTATACTCTTATTACCTCTACCACTACGGGATTTGAATCGACCACTGCATCTCTGTGCTAATGTGGTGTGGCAACTCGAACTGATGTACGTACGTACGTACGAAGTTCTACGTTGTTACTGACTGACTACATAGTTCAGAGATTTTATTGAGATGCTCTGTAATTTCATTTCAAATATATTCGATTGTCCCCACTGATGTTCTTGTTCACTACAATATCAGTTAGAGTAGAAGCATTAAAAGAAAGGAATGGTACAATAGATCCTAACAACTAATAACTCAGAGTCAGAAACCAGTGATTGCTCTGCATAAATTTAGTATGAAGTTTCTAACTTGTCAATAACTTATAAATCGATACTGTATGCTAATGAAAGTTAGTCTTTTAATGTGTCCAAGTAATTCTATGTAATAATAATTATATTAACTGAGTATACATTTCCTTTTGTACTTTTATACAGATTATAGTTATATGTTAGATTCGGATGTATTTTTAAATTATCTATGTAAATTATCCAATCATGTTAATCTATTGGAAAATATAACTGGTCAATTGAATGCATGGTCACCTAGTTTAGGCGGTTGGATTAATTTGTCGAATACGACGACTACTACCAGTACAACTGTTACTAATGAGAATGTGAAAGAAACTGAACGTGATATGATTTTAAAATTATTGAAAATGTTATTTGATAAAAGTATCCCTGTAAGTTATGATTATCAATTATATTAAATCATTAATATAATTTTACATTTTTAGAGAATATACACATTCGACTTACTACGGTGAATTAACCTTATATTGAGTCAGTCAGTCAGTAACAACGTAGAACTTCGTACGTACCGTACATCAGTTCGAGTTGCCACACCACATTAGCACAGAGATGCAGTGGTCGATTCAAATCCCGTAGTGGTAGAGGTAATAAGAGTATAAGCAGTAATCGGGAAGATTAGGGTTTGGAGATGTTATTTAACGAGTATAATCCAGTGAAACAAATTTGGAAAGAGGAAAAAAGGGACATGAAGAATTCAGAAGATTAGAATTTGAGAGAACACAGAGAGTGGATGCACCTGCGCCATAGCAAACGATTTTGAGCCATGTCATTCAGGGTCTCTAACCATCGGTTGCTGTCATCTCGCGGATCCCAACCAGGTAGTCTACACCTACCAACATGACTCAGTTCACTTGTCAGTGACTTCATGGACTTGTGCCATGTTTTGGTTTGGCCGCCCCTAGCTTTCTTCCAACCTACTCCTATACCACTGAACATAGCACGTCGATGTAGTCGGTGGTTGGGCATACGTAACACGTGTCCCAGCCATCTCAACTGATGAAGTTTCACTACTTCATCAATTGATTTACCATCCTTACCTAGTACCCGTTTCCTAACAACTGTGTTACTTACTCGATGGTCCCATGATATACGAGCAATGTTACCTTATATTGAACTCTTCTGTTGTATGCTATAGTTGGAGATGAAGCCTATTTACAACATGGTTTCAGTTTTTAATAGCATTCGGTTTTAGTTGAAATCTAATACTCTCTCATAACTAACTCATAGAACTGAATCCTAAAAAGAGGACATAACTTTCAGGAGGGGGGGGAAGAGGGTTTAGGTACATTACATGTTGTCTGAAGGTCAAACAGTATGTGGGAGGTTATGGATAAAACAGGCTATTGAAGTATGCAGATTACGCTCCCAGTCTCTATGTCGTTGTCTGGTTTAGAAGGATAATCTTATATTTACCTATGATTTTCGTACAATTGATTCGGTTTGCCAATTACAGCATTTTAGTCATTTCACACTCTTCTCACTAGGTTAGGAAAATATGTAGGAACTATGTGTATCTAAGTCGGATGTCGTAGAACATAACAGAAATTTGATCACAATTTCACTTAATTAGTGTCAGATTAGACAATTAGCAAAGATGAGTTCGATTTGAAAATAGGCGTTTATCATGAAGTGACATCAACAGGAAAATCAGGTAATACTTAACAGCTGTCACACTCTTGAAATAGTATTGATCCCGTTACCTTATATGGGTTCCAACTCAAAACTGTTGAATTTCACAGATAATGCATCAAATTTCTTTATAGATGTGTAATTTTTTTATCGGTCACTGGGCATTATTCCATCAATGATTTGATTAGTAAAATAATGCACTTGACTTCTTGTCATGTGTGAGAACTAGTAATAAAACCTGACTGACTAAATCGAAGTACGCGGAGTGGAGTTACAACATAGAACCCATTGATTGGAAATTAAGTGGATTAACGACTAAGTCATTAGATTATTATTTATTATGATTGTTTATCATCAAGCAAATGAAGAGCAATCTTAATGCTGAAAATGCACTATTTCTTAGGTCTCAAGTGTTATGGAATGTGAATGTGGTAGATACACGTTTAACTGTCATAACCTACAAGGATAACGATAGGAAATGGAGTAACCTTTGTTAAACTTTGGGATTTATAGTGCTGTGAAATTTCAATCTCACATTTTAATATATAAACAACTTGCTATAGTAATTCATGATTTAATTGTTGTTTTTTTAGAATTTTTTGAGACTTCTTTCTAAGATTATCGGGTCATCCAACAACAAATCACTGTTATGACAATTATCTCAGTATAATCTTTTAACCCAAAACCCATTGTCCCAGATAGTTCATTTATTAGGACCTATTTAAAATCGTCTCGGCGAGGCTCAGTGCTGTGGGCACTTTTAAAATTGCCCTCAAATGCTCTGCTACGACCGAGAGTGGGAAGAGTCAACTCTCTCTCTCTCCAAATGCTCTCACATGACCACGTGCATACAATCATTACTAGAGAAATCCTACTCACTACCTTCTCGTAGCATTACTGTTGTTTGTGAAATTGAGAGGACGAAAAGCGAATATCCGGCAGTTTAATCAGTTTGGTGGACATGGAGAGTCCACCTAAGGGAGTTGGAGAGCCATGATTCCAACCCAATGGTTTACATGGACTCCAATATTCTGAAGGAACAAATGGCGTATGAACCAATTATTGGTCACTGGCTACCATGAGACTGCATCTCCTGACGTTGCCCTACTCTTTTATGAATTAGACCTTTAGGTCAAAAGCTCAGGGTGTGGCTCCCTAAAGAAACCACCTGCTTCGGTTTAGGCACCTGGGAAATATCCCAGCCCTCACACAAATTGAATGATTTATGTGGCGCATATATATTTGGTGCCTTCTTGTACGTATGTTTATGTGTTTAAATAAAAATAAATAAAATCATCAGATAATTTCCACCTTCTGTTCTGTTTTTTTTTTCACTTTCTCCTGTACTGAATTGTTTATAGAATGAATTAAATTCAACAGGTGAAGGAATATTTCAATTTACCAGTATTCCACAAACATGGTTACCACCAAATCGTCCAGTTGATCTAAGACGTCCAAATTATGAATTATATATATTCTATACTGAATTACCTTATCCAAATCAATTAACTAGTCGATTAGGTTCACATCGTTTATATATTGAATTACATTATAATAAACAAATATCAAATTATAACATTTTATTAATGGCTGGTAGTTTTAGTCATGATACACAATTTTTTTAAATAAATCACTAAGTAAGTATTATCAATAAATGTTGTTATAACATTTGGGTTTCTATGTTTACACTTATGGAAAGTTAATTTACCTTAGACAAATATCTGCACTAGATTCTCACTTCACTCAATGTCTATTCTACAGGGTGTCAACACAAAGTCAGATAATCAAGAACATGTGATTAGCCTGATCACAACGTAAAAATATTTCCACACCAAACACCCGACACCATACAACAACAATGAACAATCAATAATAAGTGAGTGAGTGAGTGAGTGAGTAATAATAATAAGAATATGGGAATACATAACTCATCGGATACTTTTCTGATTAAACAGACAACCAATCATTATCATCCATGCCCACACATTATTTATCATTATTGTTATTAATATCAGATGGGTTTTGTAGATATTATAGTAATTTCAATGTAGTAGTTGAAATTAGACATTAAAATCATTGGATACCGGCTCAGTGGTCTAGTGGTTAAGTGCTCGCATGCGAAATCAGTAGGTCCTGGGTTCGAATCTCGCGGGGGCGAAGTCGTGGATACGCACTGCTGAAGAATCCCACAATAGGACGGAACGGCCGTCCAGTGCTCCAAGGTTTCCCGTGGTGGTCTAACTTCAACTGACTCATAATCTTAACCATCGAAATTATTGTTATTATTATACATGATGTTTTTAATGTATATCTATCTTAATATTAACTTGTTTCATTGTTTACTTCAGTTCTTTAATTGGTTATTAAGACTTTTTTATTCTTATTTGCACCATATTTTTCATACATTTCGTTTTGCACTACTGATTTGATATATTAAAATGTTTTAGTATATCTACAAGACACTTAGCTAATAATAGAGATTGAACATTAGGAGATATAGAATAATAAATAAGAACTTTCGTCTAAATTTGATCGAATAGTTTCCGAGTATTTGGGAGCCGAGTTTGTTATATATTGTAGACTATGTGCCCTATTAATGATACCGCCAGTTAGAGAACAGTGAATTATCGATTGGACCAATGATGCATGAAAACCGTGCGAGCAGTCTAGAGTACTTATCGGTTCTGCTTCCTACCTAATCCAGCCAGTTGAGTCAAGAACACCAATCTCAGCCTCTGCAATATGAATCATGTATTTCAAACATACTGAATTTATATACACTAGCTAAACAGACCACATCGTATCATAAAATAAGAAACAACATTTGTACAAGATTTAACCAAATGAGGCTGTGAATAAAGGAGGTAGTAATTGATAGACAGAGCATAACTTAACAATGGTAAATCATGTAATAATAGTTCATAGGTCAAAATAAAGCGTATAATAAGAGGAATACGAATATGCATAGTTTAGTTACATAACAATTATACGACAAAAATATACGTATAGTTTAAGACCAGAAATAGATTCCGACAGTTACCGCCATTCATTATTCTCATCGGGATATAACAGAGTTGATGTGAGACATTAAAGATTATGCATGTTGTATTTGTAAAATCTGAGCGAATGAATTTCAGGTAAATCCAACGTTTCGTCTGGCAATCAGGTTCAAACTTTTTCTTTGAAAAGTTCAAAAAAAGAATGAATATTTATAAAAGAATATTTAAGCTACATTTTTAAAAAGAAGTAAAACATGAATCAATCTGCTTTATTGAAACTGATTCTATCATTGAATACATTCGATCGATTAAATAGTCTTTGTCTACTCACATGGTTCAGGTTTTATTAGTCAACAAATTCATCAATTGATGATACGTTTTGGTTTAAACACATATAGCTTTCTTTTTACTCAAAGTTTTATTGCATATGTTGGTAGGTACAAGATGGACGTAGATTACACATATGTCGACCATTTCGATTGCTGAATGATTCACCTGATTCAATGCATGATCGTCTTCATATGATAGTTTAAAAAAATCAAGAAAAAGGGTATTTATTCCCTTGATCTTTCAAATTATTAAATTCATCATATTCTTACTTACTTACTTACTTACGCCTGTTACTCCTCGTGAAGGAGCATAGGCCGCTCACCAGCGTTCTCCATCCAACCCTGTCCTGGGCAATCCTTTCTAGCTCCGTCCAGTTGTAATTCATCGTTTTCATATCTGCTTCTATTATCCGACGCAATGTGTTCTTTGGCCTTCCTCTTTTTCGCTTCCCTTCAGGATTCCAAGTTAGGGCTTGCCTCGTGATGCAGTTTGACGATTTGCGTAATGTATGTCCTATCCATTTCCATCGTCTTTTCCTAATTTCTTCTTCAGCTGGAAGTTGGTTTGTTCTCTCCCACAGAAGGCTATTGCTGATGGTATCCGGCCAATGGATGTTGAGTATCTTGCGAAGACAGCTATTTATAAATACTTGTACTTTCTTGATTGTGGTTGTTGTAGTTCTCCAAGTTTCAGCTCCATACAGTAGAACTGCCTTGACGTTCGTATTGAAGATTCTCACTTTGATATTGGTTGAAAGTTGTTTTGAGTTCCATATGTTCTTCAATTGTAGGAATGCTGTCCTTGCTTTGCCAATCCTCGCCTTTACGTCTGCATCTGAGCCTCCTTGTTCATCGATGATGCTTCCCAGATATGTGAAGGATTCTACATCTTCCAGAGTTTCGCCATCAAGAGTGATTGGATTGCTGTTCTCCGCTTTGAATTTGAGGACCTTAGTTTTCCCTTTGTGTATGCTGAGGCCTACTGATGCAGAGACTGCTGCTACACTGGCTGTCTTCATCTGCATCTGTTCGTGTGTACGGGATAGGAGGGATAGGTCATCTGCGAAGTCCAAATCGTCTAATTGATTCTGAGCTGTCCATTGTATTCCGTGTTTTCCTTCAGATGTTGAGGTCTTCATAATCCAGTCGACCACCAGAAGAAAGAGGAAGGGAGAGAGTAAACAGCCTTGTCTGACTCCGGTCCTTACTTGGAATGCATCTGTCAGCTGTCCTCCATGCACTACTTTGTACTGTAGTCCGTCGTATGAGTTCCGGATGATTTTGACGAGCTTCTCAGGAATTCCGTAGTGTCGAAGAAGTTTCCATAACGTCCTCCTGTCTACACTGTCGAATGCCTTTTCATAATCAATGAAGTTGATGTATAATGATGAGTTCCACTCAACTGATTGTTCGACGATGATCCGTAGTGTTGCAATTTGGTCTGTGCACGACCGATCCTTACGGAATCCAGCTTGCTGATCTCGAAGTTGGGCGTCATCATATTCTGCTTTGCGTATATGTGAATAATAATTGTTTGATTTGTTTTAGTGTAAGGTATGCTTTCTTTGCATTCAGATGGAATGGTTTGAAAAAGAATACTAAACGTACAAATTAAGCAATGCAAATGTTTCTTCTCAGTTATTTCTTCGTCATAGTTCTACATTAATGTATAAAATCAGTGCCAAAATAAATTATGCTCGATCAATTTAATGGTGTATCTCAGTCTATTCATTCAATTGATAAATATAATACATTGAAAAGCAATTATTTTTAATCAAAGATTTCAATATAGTCGACCGCTTTAACCAAGTCAATGTAACTCAGAATGAAAACCATGTGTATCTTGAAAGTTGGGACTTGAATTGAAGAATTTGATAAAGATGACACTAGTATGCAGCAGTAGTTATCCACTAAATGAACAATGAATGTTGAGTACGACACAGTGAAGATTGCGGATAACCTCAAAGTTATGACTTAAGACCGTTAATCGATATCATGTTTTAAATTCACCAATCGGAATCCTGAATATAATTTTCTCTACTATTCCGTTCATAAACTAGCGTCCTAAACTTGATGAATTATTCATTTTGACGTACACAATTAACCTTGGACCGACCTAAGCTGAGCTCCTACTGGCCTACCATCCCTAGGCCTTTCTCGGCTTCTTACTTTCAGTCTGAAGTGAAGCCATCCTCTTTCAAGGATACATAGGTTTTTTGTACAAGCGTATTGAACTACAGTCGCACTATAAAACAAAAAAAAAAATCATCACTATACATATACAATCCAAAAACAACTGTGAATAGAGCAAGTTGTCTATCATAACTTGGTAACAAGTTAGTATTGAGACTCATAATAATAAATAATGTGTTGAACGAGACTTTACAATAAACGGAATATATAAATGTAATAATTCAGTAACTGCACAACAGAATTATAAATATTGATTCGGTAAACGTTTCCCAAAGTTTCCCTACTTTTACAATATCTGTCCTGTACAGTATAATTCTAACTTTGTTCCGTCTACTGTAATTTGAACAACCTGCTGGTCGCATGAACGTGTACTTTTTTATTCAGAAATAGGATAATTTTCTAATACATTATGAATAGAGAATATTTGTAGAACAGTAGAATTGGATCATAGGCTTATTCCGATCATTATTCGTGTATTTTGGCACCAATCAGTGAGTGATGTTGAGGTTAGAAACAGAGTGCCAAGTAAAGAGGAAATCGGTTGATGAGGTGGTAGGTTTTCATCAACTGAGATCGTCGAGACATGTGTTACGCGTACCCGACTACCTTAACAGTCTACGTTGTCTGGGTAAGAAGTACGCTAGAAGAAAGCTATTGGGAGCCAAAACAAACATTAGTACTTAAAATCACTGGTTGTTAGATTGGGTCACGTGGGTAGATGTGGATCTCCTGGTCGCTACTCGACTATTATCATAGCCGATGGTTAGAGACTGTGCGATATGGTTCAAAATGATCAGAAATGAAGAGAGTGCATTCGTTTTTTGTCGTCTTTTAGTCCCTGAATACCAAAGTAACTTTATACACTGTTGTCCCTTTTTAATCCTACTACTCTGGCATTTGAATTGAACATTTCAGCTTACTGTGCTGATCTGTTAGGGCTTCAATGGACGTACATATGTATCAGGTTCTACGTTCCATATGATTGAAATACATCTATAAATGTCGATTGAATTAGTGAATGATAAAACGTAGCATCTTTTGTTTAACACTTACGTAAATCTGAAATTTATTAAAATGGTTTGGACATTATACAGTTGAACCTGACACAAGATGATAAACCGTACATAT